TTTTTTTTTTTTTTTTTATTTATTTATTTTTTTATCACAACCATAGTGTATCTTTTTTTTTTTTTTTTTTTTTTTACATGTATTCCCCATCCCGGTCCCCCCTCCCACCTCCCTCTCCACCCAATCCCTCTGGGTCTGCCCAGTGCACCAGGCCCGAGCACCTGTCTCATGCACCCAACCTGGGCCGGTGAACTGTTTCACCCTAGATAATATACGTGTTTCAATGCTGTTCTCTTGAAACATCCCACCCTCGCCTTCTCCCAGAGTCCACAAGTCTGTTCTATACATAGGAGTCTCATTTTCTGTTTTGCACATAGGGTTATCGTTACCATCTTTCTAAATTCCATATATATGTGTTAGTATACTGAGAGACGCCTGGCGGGCTACAGTCCGTATCGTCGCAAAGAGTCAGACACGATTGAAGCAACTTAGCACAATAACAACACAGACACACAGACACACATAATTACAGCCTCTTCCCCACCCCACCCCACCCCCACACACTTAGAATCATAGGAACCACAAGGAATAGTAAGAATTAGGGCATGATGTTTGTTTTGCAAATGAAGCCTAAAAATTCACAAAGTTAAATCTATTTTCTTAGAGTCAGAGAGCACCCTGACCCAGAGCTGAGTTGAAAAAGTCAGCCCGTTTAGCTCCAAGCTATGTGGTTTTGCTTTTATGTTTTAATCTAATGAGCTGATTCTTTGCTTTGTTGTGAGAGGGAGGAGGAAAGGGCGGAGCCCTGGTCTGTCTGTAGTGGTGAATGAAACATTTACAGAGGGTCTGGGAGAGTCAGAGATTGTGTGTGTGTGTGTGTGTGTGTGTGTGTTCGTTCAACCTTGTGCTGACAGAACACATAGTTGTGCCCTGGAGCACATTAATCATGGTGCACAGGTCAGAATTCAGCATCTGGGAGGCTCCTTGGTACGTGGGTTTCCAGAGCAAAATTGTCAAAAGAATTTTCCGCTGCATTGTCGCGCAGTAATTATGCAGACAGTGAATACGCGGCCCCATCTTCCCAACAAGGACCCTTTTCTTGTGAGGTTAACGTCCAGAGGCTGTTCTGGAAGAGTTATAATTACTTTTCCATGTTCTCCATAATCAAGTGACCTTTTAGCTCTTTACAATAAGGCCAGTGCACTGGACTTACAGGTTCGCTGGCGTTCACATGCAGAGGAAGCGCAAACGTGATGGTAATTCTCTGCGGAGCAGCAGGAGCGCAGGTCTTGTCCCCTTTCCCGAGGGCTGACTCCCATGTTCTGGGACCAAGGAGGGCTGGCCCCTGCCGTGTGCTGCGGTGGGCAGGGCAACGGAAGGGGGCCAGGCTGCCCATACTGGTTGCGTGAACTTCCGGGGCCCTAGCCTGGTTTCACCGCATTCCCTCGGGCTGCCCCCCATCAGTGGATTGACTGGGCACAGAGGATCCTGATGCTATCCCAGAGCAGTTTCCCAAATGAAACCAAGACTCTGCAAACTGAGGGGAACAGATAAGGTTCTGCCGGCTAACCAAACCAGGAAGGAAGGTCCCCCTTGCATCTGGGATTTTAACATCACTGCACTGCTCTTCTAATAAAGAGTTGGCAAAGGAAGAAAGGAAGTGAAGTCAATCTAACTTGGCCTCCATCACTGCTCCCTGCCCCTCCTCCCTGCCTGCCCCGCTGCGCCTGGTTCCCCGTGGGTCAGGATGCTCTCTATGAGAGACGGGAGATTGTTCAGTACCTGTGGGAGCCGAGACCCCCAGTTCTCGCCCCACCCCGTCCAGAGCATTCGCTCTAAAATATCTAGATGATGTCCTTTGGATGAACTGAAGAGCTGTCTCATGTGCATTGTCAAGTGGCATGCCCATTTGGAAGTTCGGGGTCAGGTTCCAAGATGAGAGCTGCATACGTGGAAATCTAGCATAAGTTGTGTCTTCCCTCATTTTACTGAAACCAGGCTCTTCTCACTGAGCAATTCGGTCCTCCTTTGTTGTTTAGATGTGGTGGGGAGGGAAGGAGAACCTCCCAACTCCTAAGCAAGCTTCCCCGTGATGCTGAAGGTGCAAGGTGGGTGGTTTGAACAGCAGGAAGCCTGTTTCTGGCGGGAGTGCCTTCCTGCCCGAAGTGTGTAAGGAGAAGCAACCTGTAAATTCACAACTGCACCCACACACTCACACAGGATCCACAGACTAGCCAAATGATAAACATCTCTGTTGTGATCCAATGAAGAACCATTTGCCAAAGATACCACACCCCTGTAGCTGATGGGGTGGAATAATTTCTGATCATGAGCGAGAATTGAGTGCTGTCTCAGGAGGGGAAAGGGAAAGTGGAAGTGTTAGCTGCTCAGTCATGTCCAACAACCCCATGGACTGTAGCCTGCCAGGCTCCTCTGTCCACGAGATTCAATAAGCAAGAATACTGGAGTGGGTAGCCATTCTCTTCTCCAGGGGATCTTCCTGGTCCAGGATCGAACCTGGGTCTCCTGCATTAGCAGGCAGATTCTTCACCGTCTGAGGCACCAGAGAAGCCCCATCTCAGAGGGGAGCCTGGTCTAACTCAGATGCTGGAGCATTCTCTACTGAGGCTGCTTTGGGGAAGAATGACCCGATGGATGCGGATGAGGGAGGCAGACCAGTGTGGATAACCGAGGCTCCTGGCTTGAGGCTGAAGCAAGACAGTTGTTTCATTATGAAACAAAATGGAGGAAGGAGATTAGATTTTGGCAGCAAGATAAATACCTCTGTGCAGAATCTCTTGAGTTTGAGATTCCTATGAGTTGGCTTCCCTTGGAGCTTAGTTGGTAAAGAATCTGCCTACAATGCAGGACACCCAGGTTCGATTCCTGGGTTGGGAAGATCCCCTAGAGGAGGAAATGGCAACCCACTCCAGCATTCTTGCCTGGAGAATCCCCATGGACAGAGGAGCCTGGCAGGCTACAGTCCATGGAGTCACAAGAGTTGGATACGACTGAGTGACTAAACTATCACATACGCTGTGGCATCTTTATATCTACCACCATGAGGTCACTCGGGCAGTGACCTCTGAAAGTCATAAAATACAGGGCCTGGGTCAGTAACTACATAGCTCATTGAGGTCATAGATGTGGCATCGTGAGTTGAAACCATGGAGACTAGAAAGGCTTGCTTAGGGAGAAGGAGAAATGGAGAGAAGATAGCCAGGGATGGGTTCTCAAAACAGATTAGGATTGGCCTTCAGAGGAGGGCTTGGCAAACAGGATTGAAGAGGTCACCTGGAGAGAAACCAGGGGGCCGGAGAGGAGGCTTCCAGAAGCCTCGAGAGCAGGGCCAGGACGTTTGGGACTGTCCAGCCGAGAGTGGATGACCAGGATCAGCCGTGACAGTACTTCCCTTGGTGGATTAGGTGACTCAGAGGTCAGCAGCAGTCTTGCACAGAACCATTTCAGGCAGTGGCGAGAAGAGAATCCATAGTTTAATCAGAAGAGAAGTGCATAGTAATTAAGGCCATCGGCCAGCTTGTTTGTTTTGGCGGCTAAGAAGCAGCAGAAGGATTGAGGAATTCTGCATCAGGGTGGAAAAGAATGGAATAGGCTGTCTAGAGAACAGCCCTTCTAGAAAAACGATACAGATGAACTTATTGGTAAAGCAGAAGGAGACACAGACACAGAGAACAAGTGTAAGGACACCAGGGCAGAGAGAGGGGGGAGGTGGGGTGAATTGGGAAATTGGGACTGACATATATGACACTACCGTGTATAAAATAGGTAACCGCTAAGAACCTGCTGCCCAACACAGCAAACTCCAGTCAATGCTGGGTGGTGACGTAAAAGGAAGGGAATCCCAAAAAAGAGGGGATGTGTTTATACGTGTGACTGATTTACTCTGGTGTGCAGTGGAAACTAACGCAGCATTGCAAAGCAACTGTGCGCCAATAAATATTAATCAAAAAAAGAGAAAGACAGCCGCAGAAGACCCTGGCAGGGGCTGGGAACATCACGGGTACCCTCGCTCCTTGTATTTTACAGAAGCTTTAATTCCCTGGTGGGTCTGGTTGCTTGTCTCTCCTGTGATGTACTTCCCAGTCTGTGCTCAGTTATGAACGGTGGAGTACGTGGTGTTGTCACTGCTCGCTGTGGGGAGAGGGCAGCTGGGAGAGGAACCAGCCCTCCTGTTTCTATCTGCGCAGACTTTTCTGCCCCCTGCGTGCTAAGTGCCTTCAGTCGAGTCCGACTTCTTGTGACCCCATGGACTGCAGCCCACCAGGCTACTCTGTCCATTGGATGCTCCAGGCAGGAATACTGGAGTGGGTTGCCGTGCCCTCCTCCAGGGGATCTTCCCAGCCCAGGGATCGAACCCATATCTCTCACATCTCGGCCATTGGCAGGTGGGTTCTTTAGCACTAGCACCACCTGGAAAGCCTCGTCACCCAGCAATGTCGGGGGGACCCCTGACCCATCTCAGTAGCTGAGACCCCATCCTACTCTCTTCTGGGTCGTTCTTCACATACCCACCTCCGTCAGGGGGTCTCCTGCACTCCCTCAATTATATTTTTCTCTTGCCAAGGGCTTTTCACATAGCCCTTTGTCTGCTTCAGGTAAGGACTCTTGGGAGCAGAAACCTTGATTTTTGAGGCTAAGCCTGGCTTCTTACAAGTGTCTGTTAGTCCCAGTCTGTGAGAAAAAATCAGTTTCATGAGCTTGTTCCTGCAAGTCATCTCCTCGTTGTTCTAACGCTGAGAAAATCATCCAAGCGTGGATGGAAAAAGAAATGTAAAATGAGATCAGATTAAAGTGAACACAAAGTGGCTCTTCCCTGCTACTTTTCAGAGCACAAGTGGAATTCTTTGTCTGCAGAAGTAGCGGGGTCATTTTGAAGTCTCTCCTAGCGCTGATGTCCTGTGACACACACCAAGAGGAGAATACAGTTAGGTTAGTGGACAGGGAGACGTGAAGGTTGATGGTTTGTCATCTGGGGCTTGCACGTTGATCCGCTCATGTTTTCACTGCTAACGCTTTGGTTTCCAACCCTTTGCTCCCAGGGAAGGCCGCTCGAATGCCCACATCAGAGGAGATTACCAAAGAATCGGAGACGTGATGCTGAAGAACTTTCAGGGGATGAAGGTGAGTTGCTGGTGGGGAGGGGAGGTGGGGGCGGGGCTCCCCTGGGAAGATAACTCGGACTGTGATCCCCGCCTGTGATTCGAATCTGCATATAGCACAGCTTTGGGGGAACTCCTGCCTCATCTGGATAATTTTATTTGGCGGCATAAAAGAAAATCCAGTCATTCTGGGGAAGGCATTTTCAGTACTTTTCCAAAGCTCTGTCTTGTAACCAGAACAACAGGTATTTTCTATGAGTCATTTGAAAAAGCCTGTGTAGACAAAACATTGGTTGACTGAGCATTTCACTGGTAGTCGTTTTGGCTTCTTCGACAGAAATATTGGATTCAGAGCTATGTAGGAATTCCAGGCAATTCTGTGACTTTCAGTTAGTTTATAAGGTAAATATATTTTTGACCATTAAGCGATATTTAAATGACACCAAAGAATGAAAGTCTCCCAGAATGTCGGGACAGACTGAACCAGTAGTCTGCCTCTTGTTTGAAATCTGTCCCACCCCTTAGGTCTGAAATTTTCATTTTTGCCTTTCGTTCGAATCCATTAGTAATTCCTTTAAAAATGGAATGTTTTAACTCACACAATTTATCTTTCAAATATGAATATGTCTGTGTGTGTGTGTGTTAGTCACTCAGTTGTGTCTGACTCTTTGCGACCCCATGAACTGTAGCCCGCCAGGCTCCTCTGTCCATGGAATTCTCCAGGCAAGAATACTGGGGTATGTAGCCAAATCAACCCTGAATATGCATTGGAAGGACTGATGCTGAAGTTGAAGCTCCAATGTTTTGGCTACTTGATGCGAAGAACTGACTCACTGGGAAAGACTGTGATGCTGGGAAAGATTGAGGACAGGAGGAAAAGGGGGAGACAGAGGATGAGATGGTTGGATGGCATCACTGACTCAATGGACATGAGTTTGAGCAAGCTCCAGGAGATAGTGAAGGACAGGGAAGCCTGGAGTGCTGCAGTCCATGGGGTCGCAAAGACTGCATCCGTGGGTCAGACACGACTGAGTGAACAACAACATTCATTCCCTTCTCCAGGGGATCTTCCCAACCCAGGGATCAAACCTGGGTGTCCTGAATTACAGGTGATTCTTTACTGTCTGAGCAACCAAGGAAGCCTGAATACGTTTATATTTAACATTTTAAAGCAATCTTCCTGTATCTCAACCTCCAAAGCCTGTCTAACAACCTTAACTAATAGCTAAGCTTGTTGTTGTTGTTTAATCGCTTCGCTAAGTTGTGTCTGACTCTGCGACCTCTGTCCGTGGGATTTCCCAGGCAAGAATACTGGAATGGGTTACCATTTCCTTCTCTAGGGGTTCTTCCCAACTGAGGGATCAAACCTGCGTTTCCTGCATTGCAGGCGAAATCTACCCGCTAAAGAAGGCAGGTTGCTTGTCCGGTCACCATTTCAGTCCATCCAACCATCCTTCTGTCTGTCTATATCTACCATCCATCCATATTAGCTGAGAGCCTATAATGTCAAAAGCACTGGTAGAGTTACAGTTATTGTTGAGGTTTGAAAGTGTCCCACCCCCTCGGGGATAGCCCCGAGTGCTCCCTGTTTACCAGCTCTCCTTGCGACCCTCCCACGGAAGGGGGCCCTTGCTTAGACATCCACGCTCCTCTCCGGTCTCCTGGCATCTGAAACCTCCTAAAAATAGACCCGATTTCCGCCCAGGGCAATTCTTCCCCCTCCGTCAAGTGAGCTGGCATTTTTGCATTTAGTTGGCTTCCTCAGTTGTGCTGGCATTTTAATTACTGTGCCAACACCACAAGCATTTATGGCGTGGAGCTCTGTGCAAACAAAATAAAAATAGATGGGGAGGCTCAGACTCTGGCAGCGTTTTAAAGAAATTGGTTTTACTTTTATTTTTATTTTTTATTGTGGCTGTTATTGTCGGTTATAGGGAATTTTTATAAAGCATGGAGGGGAGCAGCAGAAGGTTCTAGAGAAGTGCCAATGTTGGCACTTCTGTCTGCAGTGCTTTGCTGCCCATCCCCCTACCCCGGCGTCCACCTGCACACGTGCAGATGTTCAACAAGGCTGGGGACATCATTGGCTTTTGTCCCCAGACCCTCCACACGGGATGAGCGAGCTGGCCAACGCTCCAATCCCGCCTAAAAGTTAGAGGCACCCAGGTGGTGATCTCTCACCCGGGCTGAAATGTTCTACTGGCAGCATCAGCATTTCACCATCCACACATACAGAGGCGGCCCTCACCTTGTACCTTGACCCTTCCCCTGTGACCTTCCCCCCCCCAGGCCTGGTCACCTCCTGCCCCCTCTCCTTGTTCATTTCCTAGCGCTTCCCTCCCTCTGGCTCTAAGTTCTCTTCCCCATGACTCACCAGCTACCTCTTATCCTCCCCAGCCACCATTTACATCACAGCCACCCTGATGAGGCTCCAAACCTGCCTTGTGTCTCTGGTTTAGAGAATACAGTCCAAACTCGACAGCCTTCCCTGGACAGTTTTGCCACGTCCCTTACCCCTCCACCCACTCTACCCCATCGTTCATATTCTCCTCTGTGCTCCAGGGACCTTGCACCCACCTCTCCAGGCACTCAGAGCCTTGAAAGACCCCTGCCTGAGCGGGATGCCTGCAGTGGTTCGTCTACTCATTACTGTAGGCGGGCAGCAGGCCTCCTGGAGGTGCCGACTGTGTGTTTTGGGCCCTGAGTATGTAGTGACAGGATGGACACTCTCAAAAAAAGGGATTGCATGTGTGCAAACACTGCATAGAGCTACATTCACGCACCCCCATACACACATACTGACAATATGCACACACACACTGGCATATGCACACACACAAGTGAGGGTGTGTATAACTGGCTGAATCCAAATAAACGCTGGACTGTCCCAGTGTCAGCGTCCTGGTTGGGCTCCAGTGCTGTAGTTAGACAAGATGTGAGCAGGAGGGGAGGCCAGGGAAAGGGTGCGTAAGACCCTCTGGACTTGTCTTTGCAATTTCTGTGAATCTATATGGGGCTTCCCTGGTGGCTCAGCGGTGAAGAATCCACCTGCAGTGCAGGAGACGCAGTTTTGATCCCTGGGTTGGGAAGATCCCCTGGAGGAGGAAATGGCAACTTACTCTAGTATTCTTGCCTGGAGAATCTCATGGATGGAGGAGCCTGGCAGGCTACAGTCCATGGGATCGCAAGGAGTCGGACACGAATGAAGCAGATCAGCACAGCATGCATGAATCTATATATCTATATCTTTTAAATCACCAAATAAACTCAACAGGGAGACCGTGTGATAACGGCTAACGGGGACAGGAGGTTCAGGAGGAGGAGGAGTCGCTCACTCAGCCTGGAGAGCGGGGAAGGCCTCAGAGCTGAGCCCGAGGGGGGCCCTCAGGAGCAGGGTGCCCTGAGCCCGGCACATTCAAGGGCAGGTTGTTCAGTAGGTGCCCGGAGTGAGTAGCAGGAAGCCACAATCGGGGGGCAGGAGAGATCACTGATCAGGGCTCCATGCATCCTGCCGAGGACTCTGGAGGTTGTCCTGAGATGGTGGGAGTCTTGGCATATCTCAAGCAAGAGGCGATGTGCTCGACTGCATCGGTGGAAGTTCCTTTTGGGGGCACTTGAAAGTCGGGGGCAGAAGTAGAGGCAGAGACCCCGATGGAGACACCCCGGCAGCGGCCAGAACAAGGGCAGTAACCACTGGTGACGCCAGGAACAGGCTTGCTGTCTGCAGGAGGTAGAATTGGTAGGTCTTGGCGAAGGACTGGAATCTTCTCCCAGTTTTTCTGTCTTGACTAGCAGGTGGCAGCACCCATCCTGGGGTGAGAGGATTGGGGGGCAGCCTCAGTTGTAGCAGGCGGGGGGGAGTTGATGTCTGAACTCCTGGATTTCCAGCTCTTTATGGGGTATGGGAATGGAAATGGCAGGATTGGGAACCTAGATGTTCTGGGAGTCGGCACACAGATAGTGAGCCTGCGTCTGGGAATGAGAGGGAAGACAAGGACAATAGCTGCCATGAGAAGTTAATCCCTTCTGGAATGCTCTATCAGACTTCTTACCCTGCAGCTCTCTCCATCACCACCAGTTAAAGGAAAACAATATTCATATAGCAGCAGTCGTTAAGGATGGTAGAGCAGACTTCGTTCAGGACCTTTGCAGTAGGTGCGGGGACACTGCAGGAGAGCTTTACAGTGGGGGAGAGACTGCGTTCACCTGTCAGTGCAGTGGGGATCTCCAGCCAAGGATCAGGGCCAGGCTCAGAGGGTGCAAAAGTACTCGGAGGAAACATCAGGGTTTTGAGGGGGAATTCTAGCTGAACCAACCTAATAGGATTCTTAGGTGAAGACATCCCCTGGTGGGCAGTGGCAGATGGAGACCCCCAGTGTCAAGGGTGGAGGGTTCTGGTTGAACTGACTTATAACAGGATTCTAAAACTGAATGGTACACAGAAGTGTACAGCCAGGACTGGGAGAAGGTTCAGGAGCCTGACAAAAATTTGCCCAAGCACAGGATCTCGGTCAGACCCCAGTAGAGAAGGACCAAGGCTTGTCATTCCCATCCGCTCCGCTCCCCAGAATCCAGCAGAGAGGTGTCTCACGGCAGATGCTCAGTTATTACATGAGCGAAGGGGAGGGAGCCAAACAGAAATGTGTACTTTTCACTATCTGACGTTTATTGAGTGGCCCTGGCCTCTTTGGCTTGCTTTTTTTTTTTTTTTTTTTTTTTTTACATTTAGGAGAAAACCCCAAGCCCCCTGAAGGCACTCCCATTCATTTATTTCCCCTGAGTTTCACCAGTCTTGTTTTAAAAGGACACTTACATCTCTAGTGTTCCATATACATCTCAAATATTTTATGATCCCTGTGTATTTTAAACTGCTCTATGCTTTTATAGAGCTTTTTAATGTCATCCTGAGAACTTAAATAGTGAAATAGTAAAAGCATGAGATTAAACAAGTGGGATGACATAATGAAAGTAAAGGTGATGCCTGGGGAGAGTCAAGCTGGGGCCGACCACGTGGCTGAGCCAGACTCCGCCCCTCTCCCCGGCCCCGCCCCCTCCCACGTCTCCCCCACCAGCAACTGGCGGCGCACTTGTGGAAGCACAGCGAAGCGCTGGAGGCGCTGGAGACGGGCATCCGGGGCTCCCGGCGGCTGGAGGGCTTGTGCCGAGACTTCGAGCTGCAGAAGGTGTGCTACTTGCCGCTCAACACCTTCCTCCTGCGCCCGCTGCACCGCCTCATGCACTACAAGCAGGTCCTGGAGCGACTGTGCAAACACTACCCGCCCAGCCACACCGACTTCAGAGACTGCCGAGGTGAGTGGGGGTGTGTGTTGGGGGCGGGGAGGCGGAGGTGTCTGGGATTGTGTCCCAAGCCAGGCAGACACGCTCTGTAGGACCTGGTCTGATATTTCTTGTTCCCTCTTGGTCTGTCCTGTCAAGAAGGCAGTAATGACTCGCTTCTCTTCTCCATCCTCTTGCCTGCGTTTTCTCCTTCCATCCTGGGTGGTTTAGTGCAAAGAACCCTGGAGAAGCTCCACTGAGAGTCCCTTCCAAAAAGCTTCCATTCACCTACATGGTAGAAGCCCATCACTTTCCCCTTGGGTGGGCCACCAGAAACGGCTGGTAATAAACACTACTGCTCGTTGCTGCAGGGCATTCATGAGGTCACCACACTGAGCATTTCAGGTGTATCAGCTCTCAGTCTTCGAGAGATGCCTACAAGATAATGGTGAGCTCATTTTACATATGGGGACCGCTGAGACCAGAGAGGTTAAGAAACCTTCCCAGAGTCACACAGCTGCAAAGTAAACGACTTGTAACCTAAACCCAGAACCCACATTCGTGACCATCCTTCCCTACCAGCTAATGATGATGATATTACTCACTGTCCCTCCCTCAGCACCTGGGCCGGGTACTGTGCCAGGTATCTTTCTAACATTAACACCTTTACTTCTTTAACAACCCCATGAGAGAAGGGTTGTTATCTCATTTTATAGATAAGAAAACAGAGGCTTCAGAGGGGGTAAAGGATTTATGAGTGTCGCTCAGCTGGCCAAAGATGGGAGTTGACACTCTAGACCATGCTTTGCCCACTGTAACACGCATCGTCTTTTTGAACTTACCTCCTCTTCTCATGTTGTTTGTGGTCTGTTACTGTCTGCACTCCCTGGCCTGGACTTGTAGCTCTTGGGGCCAGGCCACTCTTCAGCCAGTCTGTACACAATGCTCCCTCCCCAGGTGGTTCTTGACCGATTACAAGACTTTGCACACGCATTAGTATGTCAGGATCTGTGTCTCTTGTCTAAAGCATGTAAACTTAATCTTGGTTTTTAGAAAGGCAACCCAAGGGAAGATTTGGTAGAGTAATGAAGACATCGTTCCCTGGTAACTCAGTTGGTAAAGAATCTTCCTGCAGTGCAGGAGACCTGGGTTCGATCCCTGGGTCAGGAAGATCCCCTGGAGAAGGAAATGGCAACCCACTCCAGTATTCCTGCCTGGAGAATCCCATGGACAGAGGAGCCTGGCAGACTACAGTCCGTGGGGTTGCAAGAGTCAGACAAGACTTAGTGACTAAACCACCAATACCACCACCAATGAAGACATTGGTAGTTCATGCAACGGGAACAGAAATGGCTCGAGACGTGGTTTTGACTTGCTTTAGATAGCTGTCTTTAAAACAAACCATGCGGCCTCAGGCCTTGGCATATTCTATTCCTTCCGCTTGGACACCCCACCACCACCTTCTGGTCCTTTCCCTGGCAGAATCCTCCTCCTCCTCTAAGGCTTAGTCTGTGCCTGACCCTCGAGGCCCCAACCCTAAGAGCCCATAGGTGTAGGGGAGATGTGCCCAATATTGGAAAATTTAGTTGCAGTTTTCTTTGCAGCCATCTTGGTAAACACTATAAATGAGTGCAGAAGGAAAAACCAGGACATGCTGGAATGTTTGTTGCCCAAAAGTATTACACTATCAGTTAGACCCTTTGCCAGAAAGATCTCTTCTTTGCCCAGGATTTTTCTGTGACCTCTTTGCTCACTCTGCTCTGTTCTTTCCAGCTAAACAGGAAGGGAGAAAAATCTCTGTTCTGGGGACAAAATTCCAGGCACTCTTACCCCCTCGCTGCTGCCCCTTTATGCCAGCAAGTAATTCTAACTGAAGGACAGCTGTCCACCGCCGAGCTATGAAGGGAGCATTGATGTTTTCAAGATGGTTTGCAGGAAACTTAAAGCATGCAAATCAATACATAAAGTACATCACTCAGTTTTTATTATTGAGAAATAGCGTTATTGAGAAATAGCAGTGTCTTCCCTAGAAGAAAGGCTTCTAACATAGTTCAGCCACCAGAGGATATTACCCTGGAGAATTAAGCTTCAAGATGTAGGGGGAAATGACCCTTGTCAGCCGTGAATGCTGCAGTTTTTGTGTCTGTTTCCCTCCTCAGCTGCTTTGGCAGAGATCACGGAAATGGTGGCCCAGCTTCACGGTACGATGATCAAGATGGAGAATTTCCAGAAGTTGCATGAACTCAAGAAAGATTTGATTGGCGTTGACAATCTTGTGATCCCAGGAAGGGTAAGTTCTCTCTGCACACTCTGGAGGTGAAACCAGAAAGACTGTGTGTGCTAAGTCACTTTAGTTGTGTCTGACTCTTTGCAACCGCATGGACTGCAGCCCACCAGGCTCCTGTCCATAGGATTCTCCAGGCATGAATACTGGAGTGGGTTGCCACGTCCTCCTCCAGGGGATCTTCCCCACCCAGGGATCAAACCCGTCTTTCTTAGGTCTCCTGCATTGGCAGCTGGACTCTTGACCACTAGCGCCACCTGGAAAGCCCCAAGAAAGACTTGCAGTGACTTACATTGGAGCGTTTTGAATATGGACACCCCAAAATTAAAATACGCTCCTTCTGAAGTGGCTTTCTTCCCCACCTGGGGAGACAACTGGGGAAATGCCTTGAATATTACAGTGGCAATTCAGAAATTTTGGGTCAGAAGAAGATAGATGAATCCTTTGACTTCATATTCTGCTCTTTCTCCTTATTGGCTGATATGCTTATTTACTTTTTCCTCATCATATTCTGAGAGGCTTTGAGATTGTTTGTTTAAAAAAAAAATTAGGTAAATGAAGATGGAAGAAAAGGAAAAAATTTTTAAAAAATTGGGGTAAAGGACTTCCCTGGTGGTCCAGGGGTTATAAGATCCCACGTGCAGGATGGGCCCCCCCCCAAAAAAAAAAAAATTGAGTGAAGGGGCAATAGAAAGCAGAGAAGTTAGTGCACGGAAGTGTGCTATAAATTCCCATGTAAGTGGGAAAGTTAGAAATTAAAACTGTAGCCAGAACACTGTTCTGGGAGAGATACACATTCACTTATACTATTTAACCTTTACTTCCCGATGGGGCTTCCCCGGTGGCTCAGGCAGTAAAGAATCCTCCTGCAATGCAGGAGACCCGGGTTTGATCCCTGGGTTGGGAAGATCCCCTGGAGAAGGGAATGACAACCCACTCCAGTATTCTTGGAGAACTCCATGGACGGATACCATCCATGGAGTCACAAGGAGTCAGACACAACTGAGTGACTTAACACTTCCACTTTCTCCATGCACGTGACAGGTAGGTCATTCACAGTAAAGGACCTCAACATCAAACATGCTCCCTCCAGGACAATGGGCATTTTAAACATACAGGGTAGCCTGCCTCTTTCCAACTCTCTTCCTAGGAAATAGTCATTGACCAGGAATTAAAAATAGTAGCTCCATCTCATCAAATCTCTATATAGGAACTTTCTCTACCAGCTCCCCTGTCTCAAACTCCACCTAACCCAGGTTAAGAAGGGCATTTTATTTTAGCTTCTTTGATCTGTCATATACTTGCCTTAAACTTCAGGCAAATATCCCTCATCTTTTTGGGTATTGGGTCTTTCTGTTGGGAAGCCTAATTACAAAGCTGAGCAGAGTATCAGGTATAAAACTTCAGAAGAGTTATGTGGTAACTGTCAGCTGGAAATTAAAGCTGGGACTTGACTTCAGCTCTACTGGTGAGAAAATTCTGCCAGGACTCAGCACATCACAACCCGTGTTCACCCATCCATGCAGAAGCCTTTAAAGTCTTGCTGAATCAGTATAATTTTCTCATAACTTCGGGTGTTATAAAATATTTAACATATTATATGCTACACGGCAAACAGAGCATCTGTATGGAACTTCTTCTTTTGAGAAATCGTTTCCACGGTGCTGTGAAAAGAGCAGTGGATTGGAGTAGGGGGCCCTGGGTTCACTTTCTGGCTCCAGCAGAACTCGGCTGTCTCACCTCCTGGAGTGTTCCTTTCATTCTGTAACATGGGGACCATACTCTCTCTGTCATAGGTTGTGTGTTCGTATTAGTCACTCAGTGCGACTCTATGGACTGTAGCCTGCCAGGCTCCTCTATCCATGGGATTCTCCAGGCAAGAACACTGGAATGGATTGCCATTCCTTTCTCCAGATGACCACAGCCTGGTGTTAATCATATGGATCCAGCCCACAGTTGCGGGAGTTTTCCTTTTGTTAGACGAGAGGTTAAGTTTTTGATTGAGACATAGCTCATCACTCAGATTGAGTTTGAGTGACTCCAAAAGAACATTTAAATCTATGGCCAGGGTCAGAGCAGGTATTATTAATTGGCCAGCTGAGAGGAATATCAATCATGACTGACTGAACATGACTTATCATTTTCCCTTTAAAGTAAATTTCCTCAGAGCCAACCAATTAGAACCTTGGAGCACAGAAATTCATCAAGGTAACCCAGAAATACTGGACACGGGTAATTGGCAACAAACCCAACAGTTGGATTAATTTCTAAAACTAGCATAGGATCATGCCTATGACAGAAAAACATTTGATTCCTATGCAAAGGTCCAAGAAGGTTATTTGGATCAAATGAGATACATAGTAAATATGTTACCTTTCTCTTCTCCCACCTCCATTCATTTGAAAAGAGTACACATACACTTAGTATAATGTAACTGAGTACACAGCACAGCGATACACTTAGTATAATGTAACTGAGTACACAGCACAGCGGGCTTCCCAGGGGGCTCAGCTGGTAAAGAATCTGCCCGCAGTGCAGGAGACCTGGGTTCGATCCCAGGGTTGGGAAGATCCCCCGGAGGAGGGGAAGGCTACCCACTCCAGCACTCTGGCCTGGAGGATTCCATGGACTGTATGGTTCATGGGGTCGCAAAAAATCGGACACAGCTGAGCGACTTTCACGTTCACTTGCACACTACAGCATTGTACAGGGCGCCAAATTGTCTCCCCATATGTGGGGCTCCATCACCCACCAGCTGACCAGGTGTGCGCAAGTTCCTTAATTCAGTTTGCTCCTCAGTTTCCTTATCTGAAAAATGGGGATGAGTTTACAGGCTTGTGCATGGACCTAATAGAAGCAGCCAGCACATGTCAGGCACACACTGTGTGCTAATAAATCATCATTGATGAAGCTGAAGTCAGAACTGGGGTGCTGGGTACACACTGCAGGACCTGCCTTTATCTCTGTGTTCTTTTGTGGATCAACCAGCTTCATGGCCCCTCAGTGTTTCGAGTCAACCCTGACGGAAATGGGAAAGAGGGATCCGAGGCCCTCAGAGGGCCAAGTTCTAAGGTGGGCTGTTCCACACACCGAGGCTAGTTGATTATATTTTTAAAATCATCGAAATAACCTGATGAGTGGAAAGACAGCTCCAGTAGGTTGGTCTACATGGGGAATTTGAAAAACTGAGATTTACAGCTGATGTTCGCGCTCCCTGCAGTCTAATTCCTAACACAGCTTCCGGGCATAATCCTGCTACCCTATTGCTGGGGTCAGGCTGAGATGTCCCGTCCTGGAAACGTGAGGTGTCACGCCCTGGAAACAGGATTTCTTCCAGGGCAAAAGATCCCAGCACAGTCTGGCCTGAGCCAGGCCCTGGCGTGTTTTCTGCCCTAGACATTGTGTGCCCAAAGAGTCCTTCCAGGAGTGCAGTGGGGGTTCATCTGGTTAAACCTCAGAGGCCTGGACATTGTGAAGTTTGTTCCAGAAGGAAGCCGATTGAGCTTAAGGATATTAGGGGCCTTTTCTTTTTCTCCTGTTTCACAGGGGTTTTGGGGGGGGGTGTTTAGTTTTTAATACTTTTTAAAAATTTATTTTGTTTTTAATATTTTTTATTTTTTACTGATTTATTTAGCTGAGCCAGGTCTTAGTTGCAGCTTGCAGGATCTTTGTTCTTCCTTGCTTGTGGCTCTTTAATTCTAGAACACAGTTACTAGTTTTCGATAACCAGTGTTTTAGTGGTGAAGAAGATCCCTCTACTCAAAGTTGTCGCCTATGGCGTATCTCTCATCCTTGGTCCCCTGTTGCCCCATTATATCCCTCCTGGGTCCTGGGTCCTTGCAGCGGAAGCCCGCAGGAACTGGGGGCAAAGTGCACAGTGACAGGTCTCAGTATGAAGCTGCCCGTAGACCTCTGACCGCCGGCTCCCCGTCTGGTACTGGAGCTGAAGTTAGCCTCGGCCTTGCAGGTTGCTGGGAAGGAGAGGTGCTGAGAGGCAGCACAACTGGGCATTCAGTAAACAGGGGCTGTGATCGCTACAATTTTTAGCGTGAAAGGGACCGTGGTGGGTGGAAGCATCTCACACTGCTGTTGAATCTGCGCGGACACAGGTTTGCAGGCTCCGAGCCAACTCATGGGTGTGTTTTTTCTCTGCAGGAATTCATCCGCCTGGGCAGCCTCAGCAAGCTCTCCGGGAAGGGGCTCCAGCAGCGCATGTTCTTCCTGGTAAGTGGTGAGAGCAGGGCTGTCTGTCCTCACCACAATCGGTGACACGTGGGCCTGTTGAACTGGCAAGGGGCACGGGGCTGGGCGTCAGCCACCCCAGAGCAGGCATACATGGGAGGCAAGAAGAGCAGTCAGAGCTGCTCAGACTGGAGATGTTGAGGTCCACGGATTTTCACGCAGCATTCTGAAAATATATCAGTCGTTTCTGCCCTTGTTGGTTTTATATGGGGCCCATTTGTCTCAGCTGCTCTTGTCCTCATTCCTCTAGTTCAACGACGTCTTGCTGTACACGAGCCGGGGGCTGACGGCCTCGAATCAATTTAAAGTCCACGGGCAGCTCCCGCTCTATGGCATGACCGTGAGTATGCGCCTGGGGCCTGGCCTGAGGGACCTGGTCCTCTGGGCTAGGAGCCAGTGACCTCACGAGGAAGGAAGGGATGGAGGGACTTGATGAGGAATTGAGAGCATCACAGGCTCCGTGAAAAAACCTGGGGCTTTGCTAGGGCTGCCCTGGACAGGCCCTGGGACAGCACTCCTCCTGCAGGTGGGATGCACGCCCCGTTCCTTCTGGAGTCAGGTGCAGAGGTAAACTGCCGTGGCCACGTGGTGTAGATGTGCCTCTTACTGCCTGATGCCTGGCCTCAAGGCCCTGACAGGCTGTGTCCACACCACCCACGGGGATAAAGACCAGGAAACCATCTTTCTCCCCAAAATGTCCCGTAGATGGGTGTCCACATTCTGTGAGCCTTGGTGGGCGAGGCAGACAAGGAGCCAGTGTCCATAGGATTCTTTCCCTGGCTTATCCCCCAGACGCTCCTCGGTGGTCAGGGAGAGGGAAGTCTACGGCTCTGCTGAGAAAAAGACAGTGCATTTTCAGTTTGCATTTACCCTCCGGATTGGGATTTTTCTGACTTGGTCCCTGGGGGCTGTAGCCAGTTCAGTGAAACGGAAAACTCACAAAGTGTGGCCTGCCCCCTGCGTGGCCATAACTTACGACCACACTCGCCCTACAGATGGAGGAAAGTGAAGAGGAGTGGGGCGTCCCCCACTGCCTGACCCTGCGGGGCCAGCGCCAGTCCATCGTGGTAGCCGCCAGGTAACTCGGGGAGCCTGACCTTCGAGCTGGGTACCCTCTTTGTCCCCACCCCCACCTCCCCGTGGCCTGAAAAAAAATCTGACGTCATCTCTCCTCCAGTTCTCGGCCGGAGATGGACAAGTGGGTGGAGGACATACAGATGGCCATCGACTTGGCTGAGAAAAGCAGCGGCCCCGCCCCCGAGTTCCTGGCCAGCAGCCCCCCAGACAACAGTAAGTGCCCCAGGGCCCCGGAGGGATTAGCCAAGACGGGGAGGGACCGCTCTGGCTCTCGGAGGGCATCCTAGGCACTGAATATCGCCTTACCGGTGCGCCTCATGTTCACAGTCTACGTTTGTGTTTTAAGTTAAACATCCAGGAACTGAACAGTTACGAGTGAGCAGAGAAATCCCCTTTTCTGGGCCAGCCCTGCCGCTTGTCTGCATCTGGGGGGTGGAGAAAATACTATGAGGGGTTCCCGGCCGAGGGGCTGGCGGGACCCCTTGACCCAAGCCCTATAGTGTGACTTCCTGCCCAGGGGGTGCCTAGGCCCTCACCGTCTTTGCAATGCCTTAGGCACCCCCCGGGAGCCAAAAGTGCAGGAAAGGCCGTCCTGCACTTCATGGAGGGCAGAGATGGAAGCTCCCCTCTCGCTTCCCCCCCACCCCCGCAGAGTCCCCCGAGGAGGCGGCGGGTGACCAGGAGTCGGAGGACGACCTCAGCGCATCGCGCACCTCGCTGGAGCGCCAGGCCCCGCACCGCGGCAACACCATGGTGCACGTATGTTGGCACCGCAACACCAGCGTGTCCATGGTGGACTTCAGCGTGGCCGTGGAGGTAGGGGCGGCGCGGGGCCTTCTGCACATGCGCGGCGGGGCTGCGACCTGGGCGGCTGCGGAACCGCCAGTCTGCGCCTCCGTCCACCCCCAGGCTGTCTGCACGCTGATGGTTTTCTCTTGCTCCCTGGGACCTCTTCTCTCGTGGAGTCAGTCGTAGGGCACAGACGGTCCGTGCAGTTTTTTTGCGTGTTGGCACCGGGAAGTCGGGGCTGGGCCACCCAAGCCCTGTGCTGGCGGCACCCTGGAGCCTCCCACCTCCCCTGAATCGGGTGCAGGGAGGCGGTGTGGTCAGAAAGCTGGGGCCAGCCAGGGCTTTAGCAGGTGTCGTTCATGGGAGAACATGCGAGAAGCCTGCTTTCCCGCGTGGTGGGGCCAGGAACCTTCCATATCTCTCCAAACCTCATTCTCTAAGCATCCCCCAGTCCAGATTCATAATCCCTAACATTTCAGAAAACGTAAAGCCCAGGACGTTCTAAAACCGCTAAATTACCGACAAAGCCCATTTGCATCAGGAGGCTGTTAACTGGTTTTGTGGGCACCCCTGTTTTGCTGAAGAATCAGATTCTGTGCTGTGGCTCCAGACTCCGCTGCCTGGGTGCTAGGGAGGAGAGGCACTGGGTGATCTTTCTAAAATCTGACAAGTTCTGGATCTCCAGGTAACTCCTGGTCCAAAAGATGTCACATAAGAGATGGGTGAGCCAAGAAGAGCAGTTCATTTACTTTTTTAATCAACAGTACTGGGACTGTGCCTAAGTTTTCATGATGGACGTGCTTAGTTGCTCAATCGCGTCTGACTCTTCGCAACCCTGTGGATGGTAGCCTGCCGGGCTCCTCTGTCCATGGGGATTCTCCAGGCAAGAATATTGGAGTGGGTTGCCATGTCCTCCTCCAGGGGATTCTTCCAACCCAGGGGTCTGCCGCATTTCAGACGGAGCCACCAGGGAAGCCGCCTGTCTTGATGGATAGGGTTGTCTGAGATGATTCTCTGGCAGTGACTGTCAGTTCCAGACAAGTGCTTTTACTGTGTTTCCCTGCTACGGATAATGTTTTAAAACCCATGCTTCCTTCTCAGAACATACTCAGGGGACTCTGTGCCCACTGTCCCTGGCCTTTGGATGGGCTGGGCTATCAGTGAACCACCACCACCCACCCCCGGAGAGGAGGGGGCTCTCTTCCCAAGAAAATACCCATCCTCCTCCCTCCCTTCACACTTCGACTGCATCTGTTGGCAGAGCTTGCCAACCAGAGATTTCCTCCAGGGAACAGGGATGTTTCCAGCAAGGAGGGAGCAGGGAAGAAGAACCAGTGATTTTCCCTGAAGAGACACTTGATCAGATCTGCTGTCCAGGCGAGACCAGGGGGAAGGGCCGTGCCATGCAGGAGAGATCCTTTGCCTCACTTTATGCTCACCTTCACAACGTGTAGTCAGGGCCGTAGAGAATTCGGTAAGAAACGCCTCTTTAATCCCTGGAGGCACAGAGGACGCCGCCCAGACACAGCCCTCTGGGTGAGTCAGCCTTGTGAAGAAGCCCCGTGTGCGCAGCGTCGGCCGAGTGGCAGAGCCGGTTAGTATGTGGTGACCACAGCCTCCTGCCTGGTTCTAGCCTGTCAGCGAAGAACGGGGGTTTCCATTTTTGAGTGGTTACTATAGAGATCCAAATACTTGCTGTGTGATCCTTGGAGGAAGAATCTGCTGAGGGCTGCAGCCCGTGGGAGTGAGCCCCGGGCCAGAGTGGTTTTAAGGTGGCGGTTCCAAAGACAACCGCAGCCAAGAGAAAGGTTTTTTTGGACTCGGTCTGGAGGAAGTTACTGGATTCAGTATAAAAAAATAAGCAGCATAAGGAAAGGAAAATGTGCTAATCTCCTTCCTCCACAGGGAGGCTTGCACGCAATCTTAACGCTGTTGCAGAAGCATCAAAGCACCACTTGGTTGCCGCTTTCACCTGCTGAAATTCTCGCCAGTGGGTGAGCGGCAGCCAGAAGGGGTGATGGCACACAGTCTGCAGCGCCCCTGGCCACGGGCGACACCTCTGCTTCCTTCCTTGTCTCAGCCTAACACCCTGTTTCCCCATCAGACTGCAGGCAACCTGTCGTCAGAGCCATTTAAACTCTTCTCATAGGGGCGTTAATTAAGAGTGCCTGTTAGAGTAAATACAGAAAAGCCCCAAAGGGAGAGAGTACAGTAGACAGGTATAATTGTATATATATTTTTTATTGTGGCGAGTTTACCCATTTCACCCTTTTGAAGTTGAATGATTTAGTGGCAGTGATAACAAGGCTGTGCAGTCATCACTGTCCACTTCTCTTTTTGTTGAGTCTTCCTGGCAAGGAGCTGCTGGCTCGCCAGAGTTGTGGAGGTGCCTTCTCGGGGGGCTCTGAGAGGTGACACGGGGCCTTTGGAGGGAGGGCTCGCCTGGGAGTGCAGTGATGTGAGTTCAGGAATGCCTGGCCCCACCAGTGCTGAGCAGGCCGAGGACTGGGCCAGGAGGCACCGCGCTGAAATGTTCCAGCCACGGCCACCAGGTGGCGCCCAGGAGCTGCTGGCTGGCGTGGGGCTCCCGAGAGCTTAGAATGGACAGGGAGGGGTCCTTTCTCAGAGACGCCGTAACAAGCACTGCCAACAGGTTTGTCCTGGAGGTCAGGACATCAGTGTGGCTAGGGGTGCAGGCTCCCTTTGAAGTCTGTGTGGCAGGAAGCTTCCTCACCTCCCCGGCTTCTGTAGTTGAGTGCCAGCCTTGGCGTTTTTTGGGTTGTAGACATCACTTGAGGCAGTCTCAGTCCACACAGGCACCATGTTCTCCTCCTTATGAGGATGTCAGCTGTAGTGGATACAGGCCCACCTTTATCTCCAGGATGGTTTCCTCCTCATTCTACATCTGATGACCATATTTTCCTGTAAGGTCCCAGTGGGAGGTACCGGAGAGGGGAGTTAGGGCTTCAAGATATTATTGGAGGACATCATTCAACCAGAGACAGGAAAGTTAAACCAGGTTCACACAGTCACTGTCCGAGGGTTTCGCCCCCTACCAGGGAGAAAGGTCGTTTTCGTAAGTCGTCCTCAGGAAGCCCGTTCACAGGGTCACAGCCCTGCCTGTGGATCCAGAGCGGGGGCGCCCCCACCTCTGCTCCTTCCAGGCCTCCCTGTCTTCCAGAATCAGCTGTCTGGGAACCTGCTGAGGAAATTCAAAAACAGCAACGGGTGGCAGAAGCTGTGGGTGGTCTTCACAAACTTCTGCCTCTTCTTCTACAAATCACACCAGGTAGGTGGCTGGGGTGGGTGCTGAAGGGCCCTCCCCCAGCTCCCTCTGTTCTTAGGGGACAGACAGCTTTCCTCTGGAAGGACGTAGAACTTGAGCCACCCAGCCAGGCCACGCAAAGGCACAGTCATCAGAGGCCCCTCAGGTCCAAGTGGAGGCTGGCATTTGCCTATTTGCTGAAGGCTGGCTTCCGCCTTGAAAAGGGCCACCTGTCTGCTGGCTGGACGAGGGAGGGAGGATGGCTCTCACAGGTGGCCGGCACGCCGGCGTCCAGCTAATCCATCCAGGCTAGGACCTCTCAGCTAAGACTGACCGCGGTGGGGTGAGCCTGCAGCCGCCTCACCCCCTCTGCTCCGTGCCCTCTTTCCAGGACAATCACCCCCTTGCCAGCCTGCCTCTGCTGGGCTACTCACTCACCATCCCCGCAGAGTCCGAGGACATCCACAAAGACTACGTGTTCAAGCTGCATTTCAAGTCCCACGTGTACTACTTCAGGGCCGAAAGCGAATACACGTTTGAGAGGTAAGTGTGCCCCAGCACCTGCGGAGAAAGGACGCTCTTCTCTGAGCCGTGGGCTGCCTCCCAAGCGAGTGAGCAGAGGCCATCCTGGCAGCAGCTACCTGCAGCCTGGACGTCTGCTTCCTTCCGGAATGGGCTTGTCGTTCTAACCCTGCCGCTTGCTTAAAATGGAAGGATCCACCTGTTTTCCTGGGGTATCAGCCCTGAACCTGGGCGCTAGCTCCCACACTAGGCATGGCACACTTTGATCTCGAACTTGTGTTTTTCACTTGATGGCTGCAGTAGCTTAGTCCTATGGCCTAAAGGCTAAGTTTCAGGTCAAAAGACAACACGAGGAAGGAAAAATAATAAATTCCAGTGCCTCTGAGAGTTACCTGATCAATGAGACTGGCTCCATGGTATAGAGATCCAGGGGCTGTGGTCTTCCTTTTAGCCAAGAGATAGAACTAAAGGAGCCAGTCTAGCTCATTTGCCCACATTCAAGTACAAGTTCTGGGTCTTTCGTCGTGGGGCAGGCTGTGAAAGTAGTCGTCAGTGCTGAACCACCCCTATTAGGGGGAAGTTTCTCTCCTGGCCCCACTGCCACGAGCCCACGAGAGTTTCTGATCATTGCCCCAGTTCTGATCCATGCACGAGCCCTGGTGAAGTTAGCTTGCTGCAAAGAGCACAGAGGTTTAAAACCAGGATTGAAGGTGCCAGAGACATCCCAGAACAGTGGCCCCTAAGCCACACTGCCTAAAAGTGAGCCTGGGGGTTAGCAGTCCTCAAATGTGGTTCTGGGTTGGGAAACTGAGATGCTGTCGCTGCTATGGCAAGGGTAATGTAGCCTGGCAGCAGTAGAAGCGTGGGATTAGGGAATGTCTTCCGTGGTGGCTCAGCTGGTAAAGCGTCTGCCTGCAATGCAAGAGACTCGGGTTCCATCCCTGGGTGGGGAAGATCGTGGAGAAGAGAATGGCTACCCACTCCAGTACTCCTGCCTGGAAAATTCCATGGAGGAGCCGGTAGGCTCCATGGAGTCGCAGAGTTGGACACGACTCAGCGACTTCGCTTTCTTTTTCTTAAGCCCTCTAAGCTCCACAGAGGCAGGAAGCTGGGCTCACCGCCCTGAGTTTTCCCCATCGGGCACTGCTGACGTTTCAGACCAGAGGAGGCTTTTGTTGTTTAGGGGGGATGGATGTGCTGAGCAGCGGCCCCTCCTCAACCCACTGGTTATACTGCAAATACGTGAATGTAGGAATTCCTGATAAACAGGATGAGGCCCCACCTCGGGCATTTCTACCGGGTGAGTGTGCCCAGATCAGTGGTTCTCAAAGTGGGTTCCTCAGGAGGAACCCTTAGTGCCTCCCCCGCCCTGATTTACCTGGGAGCTAGGAGTTCATTTACAATCTCTTCTGCTAAAATAGATTATCCAGCAGGCAGGGTTGGGTCAGACTGTGTGGCTTTGTAACAACTACCAATGACCAGGAGCTGTAACAAAGCAAGCACCTTTCAGAGCCACGGGTTTATAAGCACCGGGCCCTGACAGTTATTTCTCTTTCTTCTCCCAGATGGATGGAGGTGATCCGAAGTGCCACCAGCTCGGCCTCACGTGCCCATGCCCTGAGTCACAAGGAATCTCACGTGTATTGATGGCAGGGACACACGTGTGGATTGCTTCAGACGTGGTGACTCTCGGAAGGCATTCTCTCTCTCCTGTATTAATGAAGCCTAGTAAAATTAACACCTGTCTGGAAAACAAACCAAAAAAAACATGGTTTTGCAGCAACTCTCACCTGTCCCCACAGGACCATTTTTAAGCCTTGTCTTTTCGGCTGGTAATCTCGCATCTGCACGGGCTGCACCCCGCCACCTCCGGTGCGGGCGGCGTTCTGGCCGTCATCCCCTCGGTGGCCTCTCTCCAGCTCGTGCCAGTATTAAAACACTGTCATGGAGATGGTGCCAAATGACATTTTTTTCCTCCACGGCTGCACCTTAAAGCAGTACCAACACATCTGTTCAACCAAAAGACAGGGCAAATGTTTTGTTTTTTTCTTAAAACTCGGGGGGGTTTTTGATTTCTAGGCTGCTGCATTTTACAAAATGGATTTTCCAGTGTTTGCAATACACATGGCACAGTCTTAATAAGCAAATGAGATCATTTTCAGATTTGGGTCCTCCCCCACCCCAATCTTTCTACTTTTATAATGATAGGACACTAGTAGGATTTTACTTCTTTGATAAAACGAGCAATTTGCAGCATCCTTGTATCCCACTGGGGGCTTCGGGCTCCAGGGAAACGCTGGTTCCCAGACCTACTTCTTGACGTAGGTTGACCAAATTGTTGAAGTGATGATGGCTATTTATGAGGTGTGGCGGGTTGTTTTCTGTTGAGAGAAGCTCTCTGGACTGTCGAGTGTACCGAGTGCTGTGTTGATGGGAGGGTAGTAAGCCGTGGTATTTCGCTGTTTCACAAGCATGAGAACGTGTTATGTCAGTGGCCAGGGCCATCTGTGCTGTGTTGGGGCGTGTCTGCGCTTCCTGTGGGTGTGGGGGCTCCGGGTGGTGGTGCGTAGTCCCCCACAATCATACCTGTATCCTCCTGCAACTGTGGTTTGGAACTGCACACTCAATAGTAGTATATATATATACATATATATATATATATATATCGTGCCTGTCTTCACAAACCATTCTTTCCTCCTTTTGTACTCACCACCCCCAGGCCTGGGGTATGGACGGACATGTGACATTGCACATCCTTGATAGTCGGACGACACAGGGAACAGGGTTCCAGTGACCGCTGGGGCCACCAGTCAGAATCCGTTTGCCTATCTCCGTGGGGAATCAGGTGGCTGCTATTCCCTTGATACTGTTGAGCCCCTGTGGGGGGGCGACCCATCCACCCACGGTTCCCTTCCAGCACCCCACACTGCCGTGGGGGGCCCTCACCTAAGACACCAACGGGATGAGCCCGACTGGGGGGGCTGTGACCGGCGTACGTGGAAACACACAAATGGAGGAGGAACTTGAGATGTGTGAATCACTTGCCTTACAATCTGTACAGATGGTTTTAAGTACTAACAAAAGGGAATAAAAAAAAAAAATACCTCACGCCACAATCCAGCACACTCAAGTTTTAAGGCAAACCAACCAACCTTGTCTCGTGTCTTTTAACTGCCTCTCGGGCTGGTGGGTTGGGGAGGCAGCTGGTCACAGGGAGCGGGGATGAAGGGGTGAAGACAGCGTATTTGGAAAAACTTGGAATCTGGTAAGTTTCATCTGCTTCTCCCAACTTGGGAAGCAGAATATTTCCAAGAGACCTGTCAGAGGCTCTGGAAGACTTAGGGCTGAGGGTGAGATGGGGGGACCAGTACCCGTTTGACCCCAGTCCCTCACCTCTGCGAGGCTTGGGGAGGAGAGGTCTTCTAGGTCAGTCTTCTGTTCACACCTACCTGTGTCCCTCTGTGATGTCAGAGAACCCAAGTCCAGATCACGGGGGTGACTCAGACCACCCCCAAGCTGCTGGAAACACGAGGCTGCAGGGACACCCTCCCCCGCAGCCCCTCCAGGCTGATGTCAACAAACGCACCATCGATAGGAAGTGTGTTTTATACGCCACCCTAAGAAACAAGTAGGAAAACCAAGATCTGTCTTAACAGTTTGGAGGCTGGAAGGACAAGGTCCTGGTGGATTGGGTGTCTGGTCAAAGAGGCCGTCTCCCCGGGTGGTGGAAGGGGTGACAGACCGCTGGGGTGGGTCCTGACCACAGTCCTGAGGGCTCCACCTGCATCACTTGTCTCCCACGGCCCCCACCGCCTCATGTAAACCTGGGGTTGGGGGGTCCCACAACACAAACATCGTCTATTCCCTCTGCACACAAGACACAATTCCAAAAACAGTTTGTTTCTGTGAACTTTATTGACCCTCGCACGATACAAGCCCTGTGCTTAAGAACACGCCTTGCAGCAGCACTCCCCCGTTATTGCCATTATTTTATAGCAGAAATACAGAAGCCATGTTTTTTTAAGGAAGGAAAAATATAAAAATGCTTATAAATAGACCGCATGTTTTGCCAAAAGGAAGGTACAAAATGCTGCATAAAGAACCCAACGAAACGCTTCAAAAGACGCATTGAACAAAACCGTCAGACTGGGAAGGTGGGTGGCACTTGGTTACAGCAAGATGACCCCAAGGCCCCCAGACCACGATGGTGCAGCCCGTGCAGAAGACACAACTTTGCAAAGTGTAAGCCACCAGCCACGATCGGCCCACCGCCTCCACTTCCAAAAGGCCAGCTGTGCTTCCGTGTGGGCACCCCTGCCGTCTGCAGTGTGGGCGGACAGGCCGCTGACCGCTGGGGGTCACCAGCCAGACGCTCTGGTGTGGTGGTCAATGCACAGGTGCTGAGCTCACAGGTCTGGCTGACCACCACCCGCCGTTCACAGGCCCGAGGGGTCCTGCTGGAGCTCTGATCCCTGGTCTTTTAACAAACGACCTGACATGGACCAACGCTAGCCCCCCTTGACTCAACAAGATGCTCTGCCTACAGAAAGCAAACAGGAGAACTCAAGAGGGGAAGTGAATCCACTTTCCAAAGACGGTCAAAACATGGCTTCCCCACACCCTGAGAAGCCCATCAACAGAAGACATTTCCAACCAAACCCCAGAGCAGTTGGCCTTTTGACCTGGGAGATGTGCGTTGCTGTCCACCAGTGACTGCTAACTGGTTGTCTGCTAACCGGTCACACCACCTTGCCAAGCCCCATCTACCCAGTCAGCGTCACCATCACTCACATCAGTGTCCGGTCTTGAAACCACTGTCTGTATGCGGGTCTGAAGAACCCGAGGTCAGAAAGCTGCTGTGACGGGGCTCTCGAGATCAGCTGAGCGGCACACCCCTGGGGGAACACGGCTCCGTCCTCTGATGCTTCTCTCCAGCCGCAGACGAAACTCAACTGTGGCTTATGCCTCACGTGGGGGAAGAGACAGACCCCTCATAAAACTCTCCAAAACACAAAATGAAATACTCTCAATTCTTCCAGTTTAACATATTTGCACAAGGACGATTGGCAATTTGGTTCTATGTCTCCTAACCAAAATGTATCCTTTACAGAAATTAACAACCCAAATCTACTTTTAATTTAACAAATCACAACAATTTTAGAGTTTTAGAAACTAGCTCCATTCCACTACCAAACGAACAAGAAGCACCCCTCAGCGGCCTCTCCCGGTGACTTCCAGGCCACTGGGCCTGCAGATAACTGACCTGTCCTTAAGTTTACCCAGTAACTTCCCTCCTTCCAAAAAGCCTTGGATTCCACGTCAAGAACTGCTACTCCAGCAAGAGTGGACTATGATTTGTATCAACAAATACACAAGAATGTCACACGTAACTCAGATCGGTCAAGAATCACGGCAAGAACTCAACTTTCCGCCCCAGAGACCCCTGCCACAGGCTGAGAAAAGTACAGAAACACCTGGCCGACCAACTGGTGGACATCCACTCCTTTAAGGAAGAAAGACGGAAGACGGAACAGTTTTACCAGCCAGCAGTAGTCACGCATCTCTTCAGGGGACCGTTTTTAGAAGTTGCATAGGGAGCTGACCTGGACATTTCTGCAGCTTGAACATGGGCACTTCTTCCTGGAGCCTCATCAGTGCACGCACGTGCGCGCGCACACACACACACACCCCCCACACATGGCAGGTACACTGCCCCCTCTTAAGAGTCACGTTCCAAGGAGAGTGCAAAAATCCTGTTATAAAATTTATTTGTGAAAGCATTCAGACATGAGGTTTCGAAAGATGATACGCAGGTTTCACTACAAGGTGCAACAGAAAACCCTACTGGGAGGACGGGCCGTCTGGCGCGGGACACGGGCCGGGCACGACTCCAGCGAAAGTGAGACGAGGACGCTTCATCGGGGAGAAACTTGAAATAATAATTTAAAGCTTCATGAGGCGCGATATGTTTCCATTTAAAACACTAAGAAATAGTACCATCAATGAAAACAGGAAAATCAACTTCTAAGTGTACCGAAGGGGTCATAGGGCACGCAGGAGGAAAAAAAAAATCCGCATTTGCTGAGGTACAAACAGAGGGAGTGTTCCCGAAGAGGGGCATTTAATTATTATTAATGGCAAACCCTGCAGATACAAAATAAAACCCAAATCACTGGTCACATAATTCAAAATTTACATGTAATAAAGGCAAGGCAATAGACTCAAGTTATGGCCTGTCAAATATTTACTCCACTGACGGTATCTACAGAAGCACTTGGCCGATGTGTACACAGTGATTCCTATGCACGCCGAAAGGGTTTTCCGTAAAAATGACGCTATTTACAAGTCTGTACACTGATCCACCAGAGCGATTTCTCCATCTCCTGGGGTGGGGGGTGGGGAGGGGCGGGGTGCTTATCAATGTAAAGCAGGATACCTGAGGTTTCATTTCTTCAGTCGCCTTATCATAATCCCAGATATACATTTCAGGGTTTATTTTTGTTTTCAAAGACACTTTTCCTTGATATGTGCACTATGGTTAAAATTAAAAACGAGAATAATAAAACAATCGCTTGGAGGAGCTGGCCTTCCCCCACCCCATCCGGAGTCTATCAGGCCCCAGGCCAGCAGGGAAGGGCCGTGGGGCCCTGGACAGGCGACCCTGCGGTGGGAACAGCCCCCGATGGTGCGCCTCTTCAGCGGAGTCAGCAAAGGCTCTCGTTGAGTTTTGAAAAGGAAGAGGGTGAAGAAGGAAAAAAATAAAAGGAAAAACAAAACCCCAAATGCCAAAGGGATTTCAATGGGATGAAGTTCCTCCACCACTTAGAGAATATCTGGGAAGAGACAAAACAAGAAACAGCAGTAAGTCAATGTCATTTTCTCTAAATTTAAAAAAAATCTGCAAAACCAAGCAATGAACAAAGCCCTAGTTTTCATAGACAACCTCAAGTCGTAACAAATTAGTGGCACAAGCCATCAGTGAGCTAATTATAGTATAACATGAAGAATTCATAAAAATTATGAAAATCACAATTCCAACACTCAAAACTTCATAGATAATTAAAAAGTTAGAATGTGTTCAGCATCCCAGGAGAGAGGAAAAAAAGATACAAATAAAGCGGTACATGATATACCTTCACTTAAAATCACTTTTAAAAAATTGAAATACCAATAATACCCAGTGACACAGTAAGATCCCAAGGGTGCACATGCATGCCAATTTGTGTATCAGTGTAAGAAACCCTTTTTGGCCACAAAGATACTGATGGCTTGTTCGAGTAATCTGCTTCCTAAAACGGTCTCTTAGATTTTCAGTAATTATAATAATTAGGAAACTATTCTGATGTCCAACACAGAGAATGGTGAAGTAAAAGCGAACTGAATGAAACTCATTACAAGTCATAGTAACATTTAAGCAACATGAAAAATACAGGTTAAGAAGTATACACAAAATTATACACGTCTTAGTTTTACACAATTTGTTCTACATAAAGACCAAATATTATGATCCAAAAACTTGGGTATGTTCTCGGCTTGTATGCAGCAATGGAAAGCAATCCAACACCCCAGAACTCGTGGTGCTGGTGTAGACTCAACGGTGGGACAGCTACTCTCCCCCAGGAGTTCTGCAGCACGGTCGCACTTTGGAACACAAAGACGGGGGGAGGAGTTCCTTTCAAGACCAAGATTCCCTTAGCCGCCTCAAAACTGGGGCTGACCCAACCACAGGAGATGGCTGAGGATAAGCTTAATGGGACTCGCTGCAAGCATTCCAAATTATATGTCCTCTTTTAAGAGCATTTAGGACATGTGACGCTTGCCCAGGGAACAAATGACTAGAAAATCACTGCAGATGGTGACTGCAGCCATGAAATTAAAAGATGCTTGCTCCTTGGAGGGAAAGCTATGACCAACCTAGACAGCATATTAAAAAGCAGAGACATTGCTTTGTCAACAAAGGTCTGTCTAGTCAAGGCTATGGTTTTTCCAGTAGTCATGTATGGATGTGAGAGTTGGACCATAAAGAAGGCTAAGTGCTGAAGAATTTATGCCTTTGAACTGTGGTGTTGGAGAAGACTCTTGAGAGTCCCTTGGACTGCAAGGAGATCCAACCAGTCCGTCCTAAAGGAAATCAGTCCTAAATATTAACTGGAAGGACTGATGCTGAAGCTGAAGACCCAATACTCTGGCCACCTGATGCAAAGAACTGACTCACTGGAAAAGACCCTGATGCTGGGAAAGATTGAAGGCAGGAGGAGAAGGGGACGACAGAGGATGAGATGGTTGGATGGCATCACTGACTCAGTGGACATGAGTTTGCGTAAACTCTGGGAGTTGGTGATGGACAGGGAAGCCTGGCGTGCTGCAGTCCATGGGGTCACAAAGAGTCGGACACAACAGAGTGACTGAACTGAAGTCACTGGGGGACTGACGCTACACAAAAGGACCCACACATCATCTCAAAGTTAAACATACAGAAGCTTTTCAAAATGCGTCGGACCTCCCTGTTTCCTCGGTGACCCAACTGGAGGGACACAAAGGGGGTGAAACCGGGTCTGAGGCGTCAGCCACAACCAGGCCACTGTGGACGGCCGGCCTCTGGATGGGGGACAACACAGAGACAGCTGGGAGAGCCAGACAGGGACCCCAGGGAGCAAGGTCATCCAAGGGCTGGGGAAGAGCCCCACCTCAAAGGAGGAAAGAAGGGGACTTCCCTGCTGGTCCAGTGGTTAAGACTCCGTGCTCCCAACACAGGGGGGCTGAGGTCCCATCCCTGGTTAGGGAACCAGATCGCACATGCTGCAACCAGAAGCTCACAGACCACAGCTAAAGATCCTGTGGCCGGAACAAAGACCCAGCACAGCCAAATAAATAAGGAAATATTAGGAGGAGGAGGACAAGAGAGAACTGGGGAGGATGGGGAACAAAATGCTAACCGAATGCAAACGGCGGGCACTTAAACCCGTGTTATCCTGTGTTATGTACGGTCACACTCGACACTAATCCAGGCATCGAGATACAGGGAGTTCCCAGTGACACGTGCCGTAAAGTGTGAAACACACTCCTGCTACTGAGACTCAACCCTACAACAAGGGGAAAGACTATGCTGACTGCATGATGAAACAAGATTTCAGATGCAGTGCGTTAAGTAGTACACTATTAAAACCAATTTCACTTTTTTAAACTTTTTTTTTAATGTGGCTACTAAAAAATTTAAAGCCACACATGTGCCTCACACCATCTTTCTATTGAACAGAACTAGGACAGATCACCTGTGTCAGCAATTAAGAAAGGGAACAGGCACAGGGATCAATGAAAGCCACAGAGGCCACACCCTCTGGGCCTGGAGCTGCGGGGAAACAGTCATGCACAGGCGACGCTGGTAACAACCTCAGGCGGGTCAGGACAACGTGGAAAACATCAGTTCTAAGAGGGGCACCACAGATGCAGGAAACTAAAGACAACGCTGGTTTCTGGTTTGGTTCTGTTTGACTTGAACAATCTTTTTCATGGGAAATAAATGCCAGGATGAAGTGGTACCAGACAAATCAGAAAGATGGACCGTTATTAATTCAATAGGGCAAAGTCTATGAGACTCTGGATTACTATAGGATAAAACGTTCAATGATTTTAACAAAGCTATGTTAGAAATGCAATTGTGCACACACACAGTGGAGACACCAACTTGGCGAAGAACAACGGTGTCTGGGTGAGCATATGGGCGACTTTTTAATTCTGTTTTCCTCTATTTCTGTACTCTGTTAGTATCAAAAGTAGGGAGGGGGGAAGTTACCCAAACACCACACTGGATTCCCTCAACTGCCTCACAATTGATGGAGGCCAAGTAAACAGTCTTCCCTCCGCCTGAACATGAGAGCAGGTCAGGAAGTTGGAATGTTTTCACGAGGAAGCCAGAATCCCGGAGAACCAACCTGAAGGGCCAGCAGTGAGGTTTCTCTGATGCCGCCTCTGCGGGGGCTCGGGCAGCCCCCTCAGGACCACTTCCAAGTGGCAGAAGTGGCCCTCCACGCCCCAAACTTCACGTGCTATCCCGCCGACGTCTCAGGACAGATCTGAGACGCTCCTGATCCCCACGGAGGCCCGGCCAACCTCTAGGGAGAGCTCGGCAGCCCGGACAATTCACCTGGAAGGTGAACCTCAGAGCAACGACCTGCCCGGTGTTTTGCAGGGAAGAGAGCAGGGTCTGGGTGTGGAGGAGAGCACGGCTCACAGACCTGCAGGGCGGCCCACCTCCGCTCCCTGCAGCAGCCCCGGGGGACTGCGCTTCTGTGACCCCTTCCATGGGGAGGCTCCCCAACAAACTAGGGGGAGCAGGCGGGAGGCCAGATGGGCAGTCCCACCTCCTCCTCAGGAAGGCGTGCCATCAGGGCCGCTGGCAAAGAAAGGACATCCCCAACTCCACCCCCCAGCAGGCTGCCACAGACGGGGCTCCCTGCCACCACCACAGGGCTTCTGGGCGCAAGACAGACCGAGAACCCGTACAGCCATCTGCCCAGAAAGAACAGAGCTGTGTCCACTCTCGCTGAGCCCCGACCTCTGGGGTTTCTGGACCCCTGACTTTAAAGCACAAACCCAAACAAGGAGTTACAGATGCCGGGCTCAGGACTGTACCCCTCCGGCTGGGCACGAGGCTGCATCTGGAAAGCCCAGAGCCCCCCCAACCCCCCGATGTCATCCGGTGCTTAGGAGACCAGTGCCACAGCCACAGATTGCTCTGGGCCCTGCCTGGAGAGTCCAGATGCACACGGGTCACCCGTAATCGATTTCTCGAGGGCAGAAACCCCTCCCTTCCCCGGTTCTGCAGCCAGCCCCGGCCCGAGGGTACTGGGCACGGACGCTGCTCACCTCTGCAGCCTCTGCACCAGCTGGGCCACCATGGTGTCCGAGATGCCAGGGCAGGCCTCCTCCGCCAGGTAGATGGCCCCACGCAGCTCCTCGATGGACCCCAGGTTGCCTCCGCACGCCTGGCTCTTCTCCTTCAGCTGCGAACACAAGACACAGGGCCGGCGTGAGTCTCCCGAGGATGAGAAACCACGGGCACCTGCAACGCGATGTGTGGCCCATGCCTGCTCCGGGTACAGGGCCCCGGTGGCCTCAGCCCGGACCCCTCCCCTCCGGGAGGCTGAGAGCTCCAGGCAGGCCCCGGTCTCTGCCTTCCCCAGGGGACGGGGCTTCTGTGCCCCTCTTCATCCATGCCCTCTGCTTCCTTCTTCTGTTTCAGCCACCAGCAAAGCTGTCCCACGCCCACTCGGCTCTGCTCTGCCCCCGGAGCTGCAGCGCGGGCTGAGACCTCGGAGCTCCCGGGGTTAGCAGGCGGGTGGCTAAGTCTTGGGGTGCTGCCAGAACACTCGACTTCATGGGACCAGTGAAAAGTGAGTGGAAGCCGCTCAGTTGTGTCTGACTCTTTGCGACCCCATGGACTATACAGTCCCTGGAATTCTCCAGGCCAGAATACTGGAGTGGGTAGCCTTTTCCCTTCTTCAGGGGACCTTCCCAACCCAGGGATTGCACCCAGGTCTCCCGCATTGCAGGCAGATTCTTTACCAGCTGAGCCAACAGGAAGCCCATGGAACCGGGTGGCAGCCCTAAATCCTGGGGAGCTGGGGTCCCCTCAGCACCTCTGACAACCAGGAGCACCCACAGGGGGATTTAAGGCCAAGCAGAGCCCAGGGATGAGCCTGTGGGTCCCTCCCACCCAGGACCAAGGAGAGCTCCTCCCTGGAGAGCTCCGATCACCACCCGAACAGAAGGGGCGGGCTGCCTCACTCGGAGTTACGTTAAAGGTGGTGTGAGCCAGGAGAGCCCGCAGGGCAGTGTCAGAGAGGGCTATTTCCAACTTGTCTCCGAATCGCTATGAACCCGATGAAGAACAACCATCACCCTAAGACCCACTTTCGAAACACCTCCGAATACTGTATGCACACACCTATCTACAGGGGGTGGGGCCCCCCAAGAGGGCACCGGGATGCAGTGGCCGCAATCAGGGGCCCTGCAGGGTGAGGCCCCTATTCTGGGGGCTCCCCAGGAAACCCGAGGACCCAAGGCAATCTGGTATCCCCTTAGAGTAAACATCTACTTTTCACATTGCCCTACCCAAGTCTGACAGAAGCAGAAAGGCCAGGCTGCACCCAACCAGGTTCTACAGAAAACAGCACTACTGAAGTTCAAGTCGCCCTGGTCCACACATGGACTGGGGCCAGGCTGCTGAAGTCCACTAGGATGCTGCCGGCAGCCCCATGGCGAGAGCTCCCAGGACGACGGGCTGGACAGAAGACAGCCCCAGCAAAGCACAAGGCCCTCCTGGAAGGCAGGGCCTGGCCCAGCCAGCCTCTAGGAGCACAGCCCACTGTCCGCCTGCTTGCACTGGCTGCCCCGACCCTGATTCCACAGGCAGCCCTGCCAGAAACATGAGCGCCTGCCCCCTTCTTCCCCTTGCGTGGTCCCCAACCATCCACTGGGCATCTTACCTCTGCAAAGAGCGGAGAAATAATCGTAGATAAACACTGAGAGAAAGGCCTCTTTGGGATGTCTTTCATCTTGGGAGGAAAGAAAAGGTAATGAGAAACGTTTTAACACCCACACTTGCCGGGGTTCACTGGACTCTGAGACACGTCCGCAGTGGTAGCTGCGTAGGGCTGCCTCACCGTGTTTCACTCAACTACAGGGGACCGCAGATACCATTCCCCGTGGAAAGGCATGGAGCGCCGTGGAGTGGCGTCCTCCATGGACGCGGGCAGGACTGAAACTGCACCGCTGGGCCACGTGTGGAGAGGGCCTGGAGACCCTCACGCCAGAGCCGGCTGCTGCAAGGGGCTGTCACAGGACAGCGCTGCCTTTTTGCTCGTCTGCAGCCTCCATCTAAACATGTAATGACCCCTGCCCGCTTCTCAGAGCGGGACTCTAGGGTCGCCAGGGGACAACCACTGGTCCACTCTGCCGAGGAGAAACTACGCCTCTGTGCTTCAAAATGATCCCCCCCAAAACTACAGCTTTTCATAAATGCCAACAGGCACAAAACCAAGTCATCGAAAATCACATTTTACTTAAGTACCAATGTGTCAGTCGCTCGGTCGTGTCCGACGCTCTGCGACGGTAGCCTGTGGACGATGGTAGCCCGCCAGGCTCCTCTGTCCACAGGACTCTCCAGGCAAGAATACTGGAGTGGGTTGCCGTGCCCTCCTCCAGGGGATCTTCCCGACCCAGGGATCGAACCCGAGTCTCCCGCATGGCAGGCGGAGTCTTTACCGCCTTAGCCACCAGGGAAGTACCAAACATGACGCATTTAAGATGCCTTAAAACTCAATCCCCAAATCGTGGTGCCTTGATGAGGAACGCCAACGTGCACCAGAGGCAGAGTGTCATCAAGAGCCGGAAAGTCGTTTCGGGCCAGAAAGTCGTTTCGGGTATTTCCCAGCCACCCCTCCCCGCCCCCCACGACCGTGTCAGAAACGCTGAGCTGCTGGTGCGGCCAGAGAGAGCCGCAGCAGCACTGCGAGCCAGGCAAGCACCCAGACCCGCAGGCGGCCTCGCTGGGTAGTCAGACGAACAGAATCCCTTAATCTGTCGACTTCCTGACAGCAAAATTCCAACACAGGCGGCCCAGAGGGACCACGAGGCCCACGAGAACAGCAGGCTTCACGCCAGAGTGGCTCCGAAACGCCGCCAGTCCTGATGACGAGGGCTAGTCTCTCCACACGCGCAGACGTACCTTGTTTCTTTCCAGGTCCGACGGCTGGAGCGCTCCATTCTCCAGACTCTTTGGATCCTTCTCCCGGATCGTGAAGATCCAGTCCCCCGAGTCACTGCCTCCGGAAGCCTGGCCGTCCGTGTCCGTCTCCCTTAACACAGAAACCCAGGTGCGCCCGTGAGTGGGCACCAGCTCCATGGGGAGGGACTTTCAGGGGGGAGCCCCACACTCCATGCCTGATCCAGCCCCTCTGGGACTGCAGAAGCCCACCCTGCCCTCAACCTCCCAGAGGAGGAAGACCCTGTGGGCATATGGCTCCCATCACTTCCCACGGAGCGGCTGCACCACCGGCTCCATCCACCCCGACGTGGGCACGCAGCCCTGCCCGCTCGGCTCCCTCCCAGCCCGCAGTCACGGGCTTGGACACGTCACCTCCACTCCTGCCTCCATCTCTTACCCTCTGCCCACCCCCAAAACCCACCCGTACCTGCCCCCACAATGGCCAAGGCCCCGCCCCCGCCCGCCACTGGACAGGGGCCACCCCTCTGTCCTCCTGCTGTTGGGGGGCTCGGCAGTGGACCCTCCCACTCATCGGCCTCGCCGGAGCCCAGACCTCCCCCCACCCGAGTGGCCCACTGGCTCTGCCTTCGCGCTGGTGTTCCCCAGGGCTTGGTCCTGGGCCCCAGCCCTTCCCCGCAGGTATGTCCTCAGGGTTCCAGTGACCACTCACAGAGCGACACTCTAAGCCCGCATGGTCTGCCTATACCTCTCACCTCAAGGCCAAATCTCGCCACTGCTCTAGACGGGACACATCCTCCTGGAGGCCCACACGTGCCCACGTCACAGCCGGCTCCCTGAGCCCTGGCCTCCCCAGACCAGCCTGTCTCCAGTGCCTCAGCTGACTCCTGACACTGCTTAAGCTGGACGCCGTCCCCCACCGTTACCCAGACCCAGCCGTAAACGTCCAGAATCACCAACCCCCCTCCACCGCCCGTCTCTTCAGCCCCCCGTCCCGACCACCGGCGTCGCTCAACGCCGTGACCTGAGCGACATCCTAGTCTGTGGGTCTCACCCCTGACCTTGCAGTGAAATCACCTGGGGACCCTGAAAACACACTCTGGGTCTCCCCCAGTGGACTGGCACGTGGACCTGGGCCGGGGAGTCAGCTTGCACTTCTAGCCGCACTGTGAAGGGGCACAGGCGAGAAGCCACCACCCCTGGGAGCACTTCCACCCGACCCTCCCTTCGCTGGCTCCCTTGTCTGATCACATCAGTGCAGCCGGCTCAGCTCTCCCCACCTCTAGGCACCCAAACAGCTCCCAGACCCAATTCACCTCTTCAGCTAACAGATCTCTGAGATGCTCAACCTGACACCAGACTACAGGAAATGCTTGGGGCGGAGCTTTTACAACACCAGGCACATGCCGGCACAAAACACAGAATCGCCGATACCCTCACTTGCATCTTCTTAAAAAATTTTGTGTTGCTGTTTTTTTAAGAAGCCTGGCATGCTGCAGTCCATGGGGCTGCAAAGAGTTGGACGTGACTGAGCAACTGAACTGAAAGATGTGTTTAAAGTCATTTCACCTGACCAGTATTTCGAAAAAAAGAAACCAGGTCTAGCTCTTTCCAGATTCTGGACATGAATCTGAGCAAACTCCCGGAGATGGTGAAGGACAGGGAAGCCTGGAGTGCTGCAGTCCATGGAACTGCAAAGAGTCGGACACGACTGAGCGACTGAACAACTATTACAGATTTACGCAGAGAAACTCCACTGGCAACAAAGAGAGACTCAAAGACGCCCAAGTACAGACCCACACTAACACCAGAAGCACCGTCAGCCTGGATGTTCTATCTTTAAGAAAAAAGAAACCCCAAACCCAGCCCAATCAAGAGGCAAGAACAAACAGAACCACGTCACACACAGCTTGGGGTTTAGACACAGCTGGGGCTGGGGGAACCCTCCCCTCTCCCCCAGGTCACAGGCACCCCGAAGGACTCAGGCCGAGCGGACTCACGTGTCTGAGTCTTCCGAGCTGGAGTCTTCGTGGCTCTGCTCAGCCTTCCACCTCTTGTACCTGTCGATGAGCTCGGTCAAGTAGGATGTTTTCTTTGCGTTGCGGATTATGAACTTGTGCTTCAGTAACTCCTTAGCGGTGGGTCTCTGGAAAATGCATCAACCGACACACCAAAGAGAAAAAAGCATGAGATCAGGGTCTTGGCATTCCACTTGACTCCACCCCAAAAGACAGGCTTCTGCCTCAAAATGTCCAGCCACCAATTCTAATACATACAGAAGGGGTCCTATTTCAAAGTTTTCTCCTTTAAGATTGATTCAAAGAATGTCATTCGGCATTGGTGGGTGGGGTCTTGTTCACAGTGTGGACAGGTTCCTAGTATCTGCTGGAGTCCTTAACACTCTGGGGCTAACCGTCCAATGAAAGCAGACGCCCTTTCCCCCAGAAAATGCATTCACACAGAATGTTACAGAGAATTTCACAGAGGTCATTCAACCATCATCACTAACGCTGGCAAGAGAGAAAACGTGTTCTGTATATCACCTCGTTAACTTTTTTTGTTTGGCTCCATCCCCCGCAAAAAACGAGAAGATAAATGTTCATTTAGATTCATCTGGAAGAAAAGAGCCAGGAGATAGCTTTTTCGTGGATGCTGAAAGGGCAAGTTCTCTTAGTCATCAGCCTTCCCGAGCTAGAAACGCTGGTTTCCCAGGCCTGCCTCTTTCCTCGTGATCGGGCTGAGGACTTCCTCCAGGCCTGGGCTCAGCACGGCCCCAACCAGTGAGTGTGCACTGAACTCAGCTGCTCACTTTGAGAATGGCAAACCACCTGTAGGGCACAGGCCTCCCGAGAAACCATGCAACCCCAACAGGAGTGGAGAGCAGGAACGCACGAACCACACGAGTCAGACTGCATTCCCACTTGCACTGAATCACTGAAGCTTCCTGAATGAGAGCCAGGCGCGCTCCTCCGACTCAAGCTTGTGCAAAAGCCTGGGTCACTTCCGGTATTTCTCAGGCCCTGTCCACACGAGTGTGAAACTCCAAGCACCTCAGAAGAGCCCAGACCCTCAGCCTCTCATCTTCCCCTTGGTACACTTGGGCTAGAGATGTGTGCATTGGGCTGGCAAGCAATACCAGAACTGTATCTGTAATGGGAGGAGATGCTCGGGCATGGGGAGGCATCTTCTTAGGGCTGGGAATAAACTCCTGGTAAGACGATCAGAGCTCAAAGACATGAAGGACAGTGACCCCCATGGCACCTGATGAGTGGCGTATTCTGCATCCACAAGGGGCTCTTAGAAAATGCTGGCATTCCTCACTGAATTCCACTTCCAAAACCTAGTATGGTATTAGAAACCCATAGTGCTCTCATTAAAACTAACCACTGGACTGCAAGGAGATCAAACCAGTCAATCCCAAAGGAAATCAACTCTAAATATTCACTGGAAGGGCTGAAGTTCCAATACTTTGGCCACCGGATATGAAGAGCCAACTCAATGAAAAAGACACTGATGCTAGGAAAGATGGAGGGCAGGAGGAGACGGGGGCGACAGAGGATGAGATGCTTGGATGGCATCACCGACTCAATGGACAAGAGTTTGAACAAACTCTGGGAGATAGTGAAGGACAGGGAGGCACACTCTGATGCTGTCCATGGGCTCACAAAGAGTTGGACACGACTGAGCAGCTGAACCACAAAAGCGTATTTTTAGATAAGAGCTCTTTGTAGAGAGCAGGGGGGCGGGGGGGACACGAGCTCAGAAGTTCCAGCCTGACCTGTGGCTAACCCTGCTGGAGAATTCAGAAACCAAACAAGGACACACGGTGCTACATCCAACACCAAAATACACAGACAACTTTGAAAGAAATACCCTAATCGGAGAGAAAATGAGGCTGAAGCCATGGAGTTACCTCTGCCACAGGGCTCTGCCAGGGTCAACTCAACAGCAGAGACAGGCAGAAGGAAGAGGGGAAAGCAAGGCGGAGCTACATTTATATCTCATTCCTCTTTTCCTTCCTAACACATGCCAAGAAGAAACTGAAAACGTTTACTTTAAAGACTTATTTAGCCACTGTTTCCCAGGCCGGACTTTGCAGTTACGACAACAGCTAAAATTAACCCAACCTTCCACTATAAATATTAAAAATGTATGATTCCACATAGAATATTAAGGAGAACAGTCTTCAAGCTCAATGCAGTAGGAGACACCAGAAAATCTGAAAGACGATAAGTAGACTCTGAAGTCTTAAAAAGATAAAATAACAATAAAAAGCATTTGCACTTCAGAGAAATCAATCATACCCTTTTAGAAGAAGAAATGAGATCATGAAGACAGCTGAAAACAGAGAAGGGAGACAGGCCACTAAGATGCATCCAGACCCATCAGGTCCCCGTAGGGGGAGATGCCCGTTCCCAGGTCAAGACACTCACAAAGCTCGGCTCCTTGTTCAAACAGGCCTCCACGAACTCCTTGAGGGGTTTGCTATAGTTCCCTTCCAGCGTCGGGGGGTTGTTCTTTGGGATAAGGAATAGGACCTTCATGGGATGCAGCTCGGAATGCGGCGGCTCCCCCTTGGCAAGCTCGATGGCCGTGATGCCCAGGGACCAGATGTCCGCCTGCAACAGCAAGACACAGTTAGTTACACATTCGGAGGGGAGGCAGTTCAAAGAAACGTACTTCCTAGGAGGAAAAAAAAAACTCAATGTGCTTCTGAGGTCTTGAACAAGATACTCATTCTTACTTGAAAAAAATTGTTAAAGATAAAGCCTTTGGTGTAACTTCAAAACAGGCAACACACAGGAGGACATCTAATAACATCTGCTTTGATGTGAAAACTGGCTCTGATGATTATGCCTCTTCCCTTTGCTGCTGGAGGTGGGAGATGTTCCACGTTCATTTAAGTCCCTGAGTCAACAGGTCAGGGAACCTGAGGTCAGTGGAGACGGCGTGTCAGGGGACCACAGCACACTTGCAGCCACCACATCCAGCGATGCTTAGAAGCCAGCACAGCCCTTAAAGCCACACCAGGACGAAATGGGACCCCTGTTCCCAGGCGGCCAGGCCAGGAGCCTGGGCCCAACCCTCGGAACTTCCCTTTGGTTCCTCATAAATCAACCAGCTGCCAGGTGTGTGGCTCTTGACCTCTTGGTGCCCTGGGTCCCCACCTATCCCTCCTCCCCCCGGCTTGGTTCAGAGCTGTCTTCTGTCCCGAGGGCTTCTGTGGGGGGCTCTGGAGTGGTCTTCCTGCCCGCAGGCTCCCCACTGCATACCTCTAACATCCTGCTGACTAACTTGGAAACCTTGCCTGGTACTTGAATAAATGGCAAGCAGTTCAGCATTATGCAGTAAAAGTCATAAAAATACCCACACTTGTTAAAACCAACTAATTTCACTTCTAGGAATCAATCCTAAATAAATTTTATATTCAGAAAATGGTACGGGATGCCTAAAATATTCAAAAGCAGCATTACTTACGCTAAAACCTTAGAAGAATGACTATCTTTCTATGGCACATTAACGTGACTGAAGTATCAAATATTCACCAATGACGCTGATAAGAGAATCAATTGAGTTTGTCTATTACGGTATCTAGGATTTATGACATCAGACTTAAAAATATGTCTGGATTTTAAAATAAGAATTATGTGGGAGAGGGCAATCATTTTCCAAAGCAACTATGAGAGACCTGTTTTACCACCATTTGGGAAATCAGCTATTAAGAGAAACAAACAGTGGTTTTCAGTAATGAGATTAAGTAAAAAAATCACAACTGAACTGCAGATATTTACTTGTGAACATATTTTCTTTCCGTATGTGGTTAGTTCTGGGTAGCACTCTCCTAAAAGTGACAACACAGAATTATCCATTATTGATGAGCAGTGGGGCTGTGGGGACCCAAGTGGGCACTGCTAGTGAAGAGCAACTCTCAAAATCCTTGCAGTAATACCAAGTAAAGTAAAAGTCACCTGGCTATCTCTCTGCAGACAAAATACAATTTAAGTGGCATTTAAAAATTTATGTATAGAAAATATTCTATGAAGAACCAACCACAAGAGGGGGACTTCCAGTGGTTAAGAATCCATGGGTCCCTTGCAGGGAGCATGGGTTCGATCTCTGGTCAGGGAACTAAGATACCACACAGTGTGCGGGGCAGCAAAAAAAAAAAAAAAGAAAAAGGAAGATGGGGGGGGGGAGAAACATGGAGAATCCCAAATAACATAGTTAAAAACACAGCTCAAAATGGATTAAATATGGACTATTTAATAAGATGTAATATTCAGAAACACGTTAAGTAGCACGAGAGGTATAAAAACCATCTATGACCAACTCCGTAGCAACACACGGCCCCACCATCACCTTGCACTGTATAAAGCTGGATGCTTTCTCCACTCACATCCTTCCCCTGCTTGCAAGATGCACTCCCAGCCAGGAGGTGGGAACTCCCGGCCCTGAGGACGGAGCAGGGGAGGCCACGGGCTGCCATCGGGACGGGAGGGTTGGTCACGTTCCCAGGGGACCAGCTGGCTGCACACATCCCAGCAGATGGGCCGGTCCTACCCTGTTTCCACTCATCTTTATTTTTCCATCAACACATCACCTGTTTTCAGCCTTCACCATGGTGACTGCAAACAGTTATTTCGGACACGACTGGACACTAAAATAACTTAGCTTGTGCTTGGGTACTAGGCCTACAGATGTTTTTCCTGCGTCTCATTTTTTCCAGTATTTTCCAGATTAAAGACTAAGTGCTGCTTTTGAGACCAAAAAAGGGGAAAGTTGTTTACAAGGAGAACACCAGCGCTGGCCCCTCAGCCTCCACGGGGGTTGCTAGCAGGGAAATCGATTGACAATCCCAGCACAAATGTCTCTCCTCTCCCCTCCTCCCCCGCCGTCTCTGAAGGGCTGCGAAGCCCGCGTCTGTGCCGCCCTCCCGGATCACGCCGACACCCCGTCAGCCCCCCGAACCAGCTCACGATCAGAGCCCCTGACACCCAGCGCCGCGCTGGCTCGCTGAAGAGCGGATGGCCTCGCACGGCGCTGGGCTCAGCTACAGCGGGGCAGGACGGAATGAGCGCAGAAGCAGCAAGGTCCCCACCCCAGTCCAGCCCACCCGCAGACGGCCTTCCCCCACGGGGAAAGGAGAAAAAGACGGAAGGGTCTTCGGCCCAAGCCCCGGCTCCACGGTTGCGCCCGCGGACACCTTATACCAAGCTTCCCTAAGTCACCTGAAAGAGAAAGATAACGACGAAGAAGGTTCTTAAGGCCTCTGAGCTAACATGGCTTAGAAATGCCAGGCTCAGATCAAGACCTGAGATCAGAATTCTCAGTTGGGGCCAAAGACAAGAGACCAAAAATACTGGTTCCAGAGGTGACTGTGCCAAGCCAGTTCTAGACACACACACACGCACACAACACTAAGGTCGATGCCCCTTTAAACTCGGGGAGATGGAGACGCTGGGGAGGCAGGGACAGTCCATCCTCACTCTACCTGCTCCCCCTTTTGAAAATCATCAGCACGAGGGCCCTGAAACAAAACTACTGGGAGCACCCGGCTTCCCCCAGGGACCCTGGGCGACACGCTCTTTACCTGTAACGCAGAGACCAGTGCGGGGACTGTCTGAGGATGCAGGGAGGAGATGGGCACTGGCAAGAAGCCGACTTTGTGTCTCAGGCAAGCAGAGGTGCCCGTTAAAGCGCATAAGCGCCCTGCCAGACGGGCCTCGGGCGGGAGGCGGTCCCTGGCAGAGGCCCTTTGTCAGGCGCTGTCAGGCGCTGCTGAGGACAAACAGGACCGGTGGTCTCGGACAAAGCTCCGCACTCACGCCCTGAGCCTTATCTGCGCTTCCCACACCTCCTGTGTCAACAAGCCTGGGAGCCGCAGTTCACAAACTTCTTCACACTGAGTTCCAGCTAAGGGTTGTTGGGTCTGATCCAAGCGAACGGAAGAATCGGCTTTTTGCCATAAGCCAGGCGGGCTGAGGTCCGTTGGGTTGCAAAAAGAGCCGGACACGCCTTAGCGACTAAACAACAGTCTAACGTTAAGGTGCGTAAAGGTTTGCGAGAGGTCAGATGTGTTTTCTCACGCGGCCCAACCAAGCGTGCATTTCCTGTATGTCTGGGACAGCATCTTCTAATCTGCCTAAAAAAGAATACCGCAGCATCTGCTGACCACAGAAGAGCATTCTGACCTAGACAGCTCCAGGGAAGAGGCAGCCAAGCTTGCCGATGTCCCAGGATCTCCATGGCGCAGTGCTGCCCTCGGTAAACACGAGGAAAGGCCCCCTGGCCAGGCGGAAAGGTGGGGAGCGGGGAGTCTCAGGAAGGCCAGACAGTTCTTGAGAAGTGTGAGGTGGGCAGTGAGGAATAACGCTGAGAAGGTAAAATCTGAATCCTGAGTCACAGGGGGCCGGCACTGACCAGCTAACTTACCAGAAAGGAAGAAAAGAGAAACATCAGGGGTGTAATCAGATGAGTTAAGAAATCTGGACTCTAGTCCCAGCCCTACCTAAATCTAGGCCTGTGAACCTGGATAAATGAAAGTGAAAACAAGTCAAAGTGAAAGCCACTCAGTTGTGTCTGACTCTTTGTGACCCCAGGCTCCCCTGTCCACGGGATTCTCCAGGCAAGAACACTGGAGTGGGTCGCCATGCCCTCCTCCAGGGGATCTTCCCCACCCAGGGATCGAACCGGGTCGCCTGCACTGCAGGCAGATTCTTTACCGTCTGAGCCACCAGGAAAGCCAATGATAAATGAGCCTTGACTGAAAATAGAGAGAATGAACGGAATACATAAATTCCTATGGAGGCTTAAAAATGACTCCAAGAAAAGGACCAACAGAGATTAGACCCAGCCTCGGGGGCAAATCCCTGCCACAGGGCAACAGACATGCCAAAGACGGGGCAGCTCTGCTGAAAACCTTCCGTCAATTACTGGCCAGCGGCTACCAAGGCTGTGAGCCTGGAAGTCACGGCCCTCAACATCAAGAGGGCCAGGGCCAGCTCGGCCCTGACGGAGAGGCCCCCAGCAACTTCAGCACCCATGTGACAGCTCTCCACGTGGAGCCGAGGCCCGGGGAAAGCCACTCTACGCCCTGTGTGCTACGTTTCACGAGGCGGGGGGAGCTGCCAGGGGCTGAGAGGATTTCCACTCAGAGAGAAGTGGTGTCTGGCACGTCTGAGTATCTGAGTTAACTATCTGTCTGCCTGGAAATCCTGGCTTAGAGAAGCCTCTGCTCCATGCCCACATGGAGACTCCGCTGCATCCAGGCGACTGAGACAGAGCGGCCCGGCATGCGGGCGTGAAATCAGATCCAGGCGGCGGGGGTCCTGGTAGGCTTTTTAAGCCCATACTAAACAGTTTAACAAGCCGAAGGGCAATAGGGAAAGAAGAAGATGGCAGAAACTGGGAGAGTGCAGCACACGATAGGTAAGAGACTGGAACAGGGAGACTCTGAGAACAATCCGAGAGAGAGAGAGAGAGAGAGAGAGAGAGAGAGAGAGAGAGAGAGAGAGAGAGAGAGAGAGAGAGAGAGAGTGTGTGTGTGTGTGTGTGTGTGTGTGTGTGTGTGTGTGTGTGTCCCCCTAAATGCCACAGTAGGAAGGGTCTGCAGTGGCCATGAAGGGTACGCTTCCTCCCAGGCTCCAGCCTTCCAGCTTTGTGACTCACTTCTAGGGATCCTCTCTGCCCTGGTCCCTGAAATACTGCTCAGCCTTCCGTCCGAGGCCCTCTGCCCTCACCCACCCCTCGGGCTCCCCCCGCGCCCCCGGCCCCTCTCCACAGACCTGCGCCCTACAGGCCTCTGCTCCTCCATGTCCCCCGCCCCGTCAGTCAGACACTGTCAGCAGTGGGGACCGGACACGTAAAAGGGACTGACTGAGGCGGCAAGAGAGCCCTGTTCCTAACCGAGGCGCCCGCCTCACCCCAACAGGATGCGCTGTGAGGCTGGAGCCCAGGAGGAACGCCCCCCCCGCAGACCCCGCAAGCCCAGGCGCCAGCCTCACCTTTGAGTCGTAGGCCGACTGCTTGATGACCTCGGGCGCCATCCAGAAAGGGGTGCCCACGAAGGTGTTTCTCTTTATCTGGGTGTCTGTCAGCTGGCCCGCCACTCCGAAGTCCGCCAGCTTCACCTCCCCGTGTTCAGACAGCAGGACGTTGGCAGCTGCGAGACAACACCGAAGACACCCTGATGGCAGCTGCTGGGCACTTCTGTCCGCTCCCTTGGAAGCGGGTTGGCGCGCCCCCCCAGAGCCATCAGAGGTCGACAGGAGCAGAGAGTGGGTGAGAGCCCCTCAGAGCCCCCCACCCGCTCAGGCACGTCGAAGGCACGCTCCACGTGCCCATAGGACCACTTCCCTTAGAAGAGAAGCACAGCTAAGATGCGACAACGAACCTTCCTACCCGCCTTGGGGACTTCAAAGGAACATAAACAGGATGCTTTCTTACCTTTGATATCTCTGTGAATTTTCTTCTCTGAATGCAAATAATCAAGTCCTTTCAGTATTTCTCTTAATATAGTAGCAATCTGGGTTTCATCTAAAGGGCCAGGTTCTAACTAACAAGAAAAAAAATAAAGATTAAGGTTACTTAAACGATCAGATGAAAAAGTATGAGATGACAGGACAGAGTCAGTGTTAAATGGACAAGAAGAATCAAGATCGAAATCCTCTTCATTCCAAAACAGATATTTTGCCCACATAATTAAAACGTATTTAAAAAGAATCCCCCTCCTCGCCAAAAAAATAAAAATATAAAGAATCAGAGAAAATGACTTTGCTGAATGAATCAAAGTGGGGCCAATGAGAAAGGCCAAGATCAGCTTGCCAAGCCTGCAGCCCGAGCGAGGAGGGAGGTCAGGCCAGAAAGCCAAGGCTGGCACCTCACAAGGCTTGCCAGGGAAGGGACCGGGCTCAGTCCAGTTCTGTCCTAATACAGGCCACGGGTATAAAAACACGAGCCATCACAAAGAGAAGGCCCGGGAGCTGAAGGCTTTCTGAGGCTACCCCTGCACCAGAATTTTTTATTAATAAATCTGAATTTTAAACCTTGGGGGGAAGAGTGCAGAAAGGAGATCAACCCCTCACGATGGAATTTTTTTTGTTATGTGATACGACATGTATACCCACAAAGGGGTTTTCCTGGTGCCTCAGTGGTTAAGAATCCACTGCCAATGCGGTTCGATCCCCGGGTCGGGAAGGTCCCCTGGGGGAGGAAATGACAACCCACTCCACCATTCTTGCCAAGAAAATCCCATGGACAGGAGCCTGGTGGGCTACAGGGTCCTGTACGCCATCACCACAGACCAGGATGGTTCACTATACACCTCAATCTGCAGAACCGAATTCCTCCCAAGCTATCTGACTCGGAATCTTGTTCTCAAGGAACACACTGACTGCTCCGAAGCACACAGTCTGGAAGCTCCGCCTTGTCTGAGTTCGTAGATTGTGGGAATTTTAATACTCAAGGTGAAGAAAAATGCACTTTTCTCATAACCGGGGGCAAAAGAAGAAGGAGGCGGAGGAGCTGGCAGATGTGCCCTCCTTCCCGGCAGAGCGCAGAGCTCACCCCGCCGTCCACACCGCTATCCCGCGCAGGGCTTCCGTCTCCTCCACTAGCATGGTCACCCGGGCGGACAACCCACAACATCTGGCTGGACCCCCTCCCTCCTACAATCAAGCATCCGGAGAGGAACGGCAGGGAGGCCTGGAGGCATCACCAATGGAGGTAAGAGCTGAAACCTCTCCCCTGGGCCACTTGAGAGCTGGCTCTCTGACTGATGCATGGATAGTTATGCCCTTTTACGTCTGGCCCAGACACCACCCACCAGTGAGTCACAGGCGGCGGCGGGGAGAGAAAGACTATTTTATTCACAGAGCAGGGAGGCCCTTTGGGGGTCAAAATCCACTGTAAAGGGCGTCCAATTGTTCTCTGGAGCACGGAGCTCCTCAACTCGTGGGGACCCGCCTTCTCCACCACTAATAACACGTTTCCAAGTAGTCTCTTCAGTTCAGAGGACTGTGGAACTCTTCCAATCATCCCTACAAAACAAAGATTCGGGGGGCACGGGGGGGGATGCGGACTGCTCCTCATCTCCAACAAAGAAAGTGAAGTCACTCAGTCGTGTCCGACTCTTTGCAACCTCATGGACTGCAGCCTACCAGGCTCCTCTGTCCGTGGGATTTCCCAGGCAAGAGTACTGGAGTGGGCTGCCATCTGCTTCCCCAGGAGATCTTCCCAACCCAGGGATTGAGCCCCAGTCTGCCACACTGTAGGCAGACGCTTTACTGTCTGAGCCGCCAGGGAAGTCGCTCCTCGTCTCTGGGTGGCCTCTGATCCCTCTCCCAAGTCTGTCATCCATCCTTCCTCTTATCATGAGACCCTCAGTCTGCAGGCGGCCACCCGACTACGGACCACATCTGCTGCCCTCTGCGGCTGCCAAGTCTGGCCCAGTGACCAAGCCCTCACCAAAGGACTATGAGCAGAGCCCCTTCCCAGTCCTAGCCTCGGCTCTGAAACACCGGCCGCCGGAGAGGACGAAAACTAAAGACCACGGGAAGTCACCCACCGCTGCGGGGGCCTGAAGGCCACCGAGCCCAGGTGCGGGAGAGAACCGAACTTCCCATCTCGTGTGAGACGCCGCTTGGGGCGGCCACCACGGCAGCTTGCCCTAACCATTAGCGAGTGTGTCGCCTACTTCTTAAAACTCAGGCTGCATATTCGTTTCTTTAGTCTGTCAAACATCTCTCTGCCTGACTGAGTGCCTTGTTTATGCAGCCTTGTTCTTGCTGCGTGTGCACTTAGTCGTGTCCGATTCTCTGTGATCCCATGGACTGCAGGCCCTCCAGGCTCCTCTGTCCGTGGGATTTTCCCTGCAAGAATACTGGGGTGGGTTGCCATTTCCTTCTCCAGGGGATCTTCCTGATCCAGGGATCGAACTGTGTCTCCTGCACTGGCACTCGGATTCTTTACACTGCGTCACCTGGGAAACCCCCTCACATAATCCAGTTGATTCATATAGCCCAGTTCCTTCTTAATTAGAGTCCTTAGATTCTGCTGTAATGCTGACATCTTGTAATCAGTGAAAAATCTCTGTGTCAGATCCTCTGTTGCTAATCCTCATTCCCCTTCTCCCAACTGACCTCACGCTACTTTCCTTTCCTTGGAGCACTTCCCCACATGCAGTATAATCCACTGTCTGCCTCCACTGGGAACCTCAACTCCAGATGAAAAGGAAAAGAAAGTGTTAGCTATGTGACATGCTCAAAGGTAATCTTGGGTGAAGTAAGGTGCTGTCTTCCTGCCCCAGGCTAAGGTGTCATTGAGACTAATGTCTTATAGCCTCAGTAAAAAGGCAAGATGACTAAAATGCAGAGTGAAAAAAGCCATCGGCCTGTGGCATTATGTTAGAGCAGCTCCGGTGCATGAAGACGAAGTTGTGCCTCTAAAGCGAGGAGGGCGCCAGTGAGACGTTTGTGCTCCAGGAAACAGCAGAGTGCTTCCCTTAATAAGACATGGTCAGCTCTCCCGACAGGCCACATGTATGGGGGCCGCTCCAAAGATGCACACAAACCTGTCAGCACCGTCCCTTAACAGAGAGACACTAGATAGATAAAGTAAGGTGGAATTTTCCAAAGAAATGCCCCAAACCCATTTATTCAACTACAGCCACACGCGTTTTTAAAATCTTGTATGAACACTAAATAGACTCTCTCAAAATAATCCTAATAATCCTCAACATTCAAAAAATAAATAAATAATTCTTGTATCTCATTATTATTTAAGTGCATCTTCTTTGAGGACTGGGATCAGGACAGCAAAAAAAAAAAAAAAAAGAGGTAAGAGATTAAGAGAGAAATGACAAAGTCAGAAGGAGGAGTCAGGGCTTTGCAGCTGGTCACAATGTGCAAAGCCCAGCTCTATTTGCTAGCTGGGACACCTAATTTCTGAGTGTTTCTGTTTTCTCGACTAAGATAAGCTGTTTTGGGGACATTCAAAAAGGGTGCCTGGAGCCAATGAGGTAAGAAGGTGGATGGCAATTTGCTGGGACTCACACCAGATGGGATTTTATCTAGCAAGTGGAGAATTCTACGCTGCCTTGCAAACTGTCCTGTCCACAATTTCACAGACTTCAACTCAAAAATCCAAAGAAAGTCGCCACTAAATAAATTCAATTATGGTGGCATTAGAAATGAATAAATAAAGCATCTAGAGACTAGAACTGCTGCTCTGAAGAGCTCAGCGTTGGGAAAGCATCTCCACAAATAACTTCACACATGCCACAAATGAAATTCAGTTAAGATAATAGAAAATCTAATTATACAAAATGAGGCAATTTTCTACATTTCTGTAGTAGTTCTCAAAAGAGTAAAAAAAAAGAAAAAAGAAAGCTCTTTGTGTAATACATGTATTTATGGAAAAGCAAAGCGAGTCATAAAATGTATCCAGCTGTTTTGCCACTTTTCCATTTTAGTACAATTGTTGAGACTGTGTTAAATTTCTTTCCTGAAATTTCCTTTCGAACTCTATTTTGACCAATTGCTTTTATGGTTTATAACATTTTGTGATTTTTTCTTTTTAAACTTGGGTACCGAGCCTTCCATAATACACACAGTTTTAGAGGTTTACCTTCCCCCGCAGTCAGGGAAAAGAGTGCTGATTAGGCTGATTTCACTGCATGACCACGTGGGGGTGAGCTGTCAGGGGCTAAACAGCCCTGTGAGATCTTTTAGTCTTTGTTTTGCATATACTGTGTTTCAAGGATGATCCAAGTAAATGCTTATGAGCTGCTGGTGATCTCTGAGCATCTCACCTGAGGCTAAACGTAACCATGTTTTACCATGAGAAATGAACCGCAGTCTGTGACTCTGAGGTCATCCTACACCGAGCTGCCCCCACCGCGTGCGGAGGCCAGGCAGCCGGGCCCAGGCCAGGTAGGACACACCGCCGCTGGCAGGGGTCAGCTCCCCCAGAAACACACTGCGGGCGCAGCGAGGCCCCTCTGCATGTGCCCCCAGGAAACAGACGCGTGCGTCCACACGTGGCCTGACCACCGCTCCCACGTGTGATGCTGTGCCTGTCTCTTACCCCTGAAACCAAATTTTAATTTTTAAAAATTCTAATGAATTATAAATGAAAATGCTCCACGCGTGTTTTAGAAGTGAAGTTACCATCTGCAATGGGAAACAATGATGGTGCTTGAATGCCACAAAAGTTCAAACCAGTTTTAGAAAATTAGAAACTGTTCTGAGGTCGGACAGGGCAGGGAACACCTTTTGTGGCTGTGTGGAATGAATTCACTGGTTTCCCACGATACAGCAAAAACTGGCTTCACAAGGGAACCTCTACTTTTCAGCAACGTGTCAGGAGCAGAAATCCCTATTATAAGGAGTATTTTGGCCCTTTTTTCGTGCAGCTGAAGAGGGAGACAGAAATGTAAACAGAATCATCTTTACAACCAAGACCGCTGCTGCGTGTTCAACATCCAACGTGATACTTACGAGGTCCAGTGCAGAGCCCCCACCAAGATATTCCATTATTATCCACAATTTAGTGTCCTGCAAAGACCAAAAAAAAAAAAGAAGGAAATTACAAAAAAAAAAGGGCGGGGGGGGGGGGGGGCAGAAATATTTTAAATAATCTAAAGGCATTTTCCACTTTGATTCTGGAACTAGAAAATTTTATAAATACATAACAGCAAATAAAGCACATCCAAGTGAGAACTGTGTGTGGAAACCTGGGCTGTGTCAGAGGGACCCTGCACCAGAACCCCCTTGCCCTCAGGCACCGGGTTCCACACCTGCTGCACCAGGGCTTTGAGGGGGGCGTGCCTTGTTTTCACATGTCAGCCGGTGACCCTCTGGCACAGGAGGGTCGGCAGGGGGGTGGGGATCGGCCCTCAAGGCCAGGCCAGGCCAGCTGCAGGCACTCGCGTCCGGCCCTGGGGGTCAGCCAGGAGGCGCCCAGAGTGCAGCGCCGGGGACAGGCCACCTCCCTCCGGCCTGCCGCTCTGAGCCGCGCGGGGCGGGCAGGTGGCTTGGCTGGTGCGGGCGGTCCCCCAGGAAGGCCGCGCACCCTCCCCGGAGACCTCCAGGCGGGGGACAGTGGGCGGCGTGCTCCTTGTCTTCCAGCCTGCTCCCCAGCCTCTGTGTCTTGTGTCTCTTCCTTCCATCCCTTCTGAAGCCCCACGGCTTCCCAGGTTCTTTTCAAGCACAAATCCCCAAGTGCTCCTCCTCTGAAAGCCAAAGTGCTTGGGTCCTGAAGGCTGCAGGCTCCGCCGGGATTTCTCACCCTCAGGATTTCTCGTCCTGGCACCACTGACATTTGTGGCAGGACCACCTCTGTCCGGGGGCCGCCCTGTGCCCGAGACGGTGTTGAGGGGCATCCCTGGCCTCCGACCACTAGAGGCCAGCAGCGCACTCCCCGGCCTGAAGCCCAGACAGGGCCAGTGTCTTCTGGGGGCCAAAGTCGCCCCCGCTCAACTGCAAGATCGATGTCCACCAGCCTCAAGTGTGAACCGCACGGCAGTGCTGACCGACAACTCTCGCTTGCCCTTGGCAAAGCCAGTTTACACCGGGCAGCCTCCAAGTTGGGAGCCGGTCACCAGCTAACTCACTGTGAGGCAGCCAGGTTGTGAGTGCGTGGGCCAGAGAAAAACGGCAATAATAAACCTCACGGTTCATCGGATAATAAAATGAGATCACGAATGTGAAAGCGCCTTGCAAAGCTCAGGGAACTAAACAAGCCCAGAGCGATTAGCCTCCGCCTCAGCGTCAGCCTGAAGCGCCTCAGAATAACCTGATAAAACCGAAGCAGTCCAGTTACCGAGGCCAAATAGTATTCCCCTGCATGGGAATTTCTGAGCCAAATAAAATCTGGAACACTGATTCATACACATCCTACAGTAGAATGAAAAAATAATTACTGCCCCACAAGCCTTGACGCCAGAGTGCTTGAGGAGAAGGTTTGCTCAAGGGACACACAGGACCTGTTCTGGGGACCAAACTGGTGACCGAGTACAGTCATGATCCAGATATAGTCAGTGCCCTCATAAAACCTCCTGCATGAATGAGCACTCTAAGAAAAATAAGTAAGAGTTCTAAAAATAAGAATGATCTTAATCAGAATATTCCATTTTTTAAAAAAATGACCTCAAACCATGTCAATTATGAATGACCTTGTAAGTTCCTCATAAGGGAAAAAAATATTTATTTAATAACTTCAGGATTGAAAATTTTAAAGGCACCCAAGTGTTAACCACCCAGGTGGCGCAAGCGGTAAAGAGTCCACCTGCCAGTGAAGGAGACGGAAGGGACGTGGGTTCGATCCCTGGTCGGAAGATCCCCTGGAGTAGAAAACGGCTTACCCACTCCAGTATCCTTCTTGCCTGGAGAAGCCCATGGACAGAGGAGTCTGGGGGGCTACAGTCCACGCGGCCGCAACGAGTCCGACACGACTGAAGCGACTTGGCACACGCACGCAGTGTGTGGAGTGGGAAGTTTCCATCTCACCCCTGGCTCTTGGCTGCCCAGCCTCCACATCCAACTTCTCATCGTGTTTCCTGTAACTTCAGAGACTGTCTTCTGCAGATACCTATGAAACCTTCCTCCACTTCTATCCAAATGTAACACTCTATGCAATGTTGTGTGCTAAGTCGCTCAGTAGGGTCTTAGCGACTCTTAGCAACCCCATGGACCGTTTCCCCCCAAGCTCCTCTGTCCATGGGGATTCTCCAGGCCAGAATACTGGAGGGGGTTGCCATGCCCTCCTCCACGGGACCTTCCCAACCCAGGGATCAAACCCAGGTCTCCCGCATTGCAGGCGATTTTTTCCACCATCTGAGCCACTGTTCTATACCTTACTTCTCCTCAGAGCACTCTACACCTGTCCATAAAGGAATTTTTTTTTTTTGGTAGTCATAACCAACCCACACCCTACTGACAATGTTCTTTCCATTCTTTTGCTATCATGAGGCAGCTGTCAATTTAAGAACCTCCCGTAGGTATCATTTTAGGAGTTCCTGGATGCTGAGCCAAAGGAATCCACTTGAAATTAAACAGATAATGACAGATGGTTCTTCAAAGAGGTCAGCTCAGTTTCATCCTGCCTCCAACAATGTGTGGGTGAAACTTCTTCCCCTTGCTTTGTCAGCACACTCTATCCCTTAACCAGTGTCATGGGACTTAGGAGCGGAATTGCAGTCCCCCTGTGAAAGTCATACGCTGAAGTCCCAACCTTGAGCACCGCAAAATGTGCCTGTGCTTGCAGACAAGGTCTTCAAGAAGAGGTGAAAGGTGCACTGAAGTCACACAGGTGGGCCTCGTCCAGAGTGACTGGAGTCCTCCTCAGGAGGTACTGGGAGCCAGACTCACAGAGGGACGACCACGAGACGACACAGGGCACCTCCCAGCCAAGGAGAGAGGCCTCGGAAGACACCGGGGACTTGAGTCTGAGTCACGTGTGTTTTCTTTTTTGTAAGCCCTTATTACATCCTTTATCTGCTTTTCTGTTGACCTAATATTAGAGAAAGCAGCTAGCTCCCTGTAACATGAGCCACAAACACAGCAATGTCCTCATCTGTCTTTTGATCTTGCTTTTGGCAAGTTTTGCTCGTGGAGATTAATTTAATGTGGACACCACGTCTACAATGCTACCACTGACAGGCAAACTTGCCTGTGCCGTCTGGCGTTGGTGACTGAAAGCTGGCACTCCCCACATTCACAGACATTCAGACGACGGGAAGGTTAAAACAAGGTAAATGAGAAAAGGGGCAGATGTGGCAGCGGCAGCGTAACAAGGATTACATTTTACAGCATGAGTTCTGAAATGAAGTAAGTTCTGCTTATGCATCTGTGCTGCAAGGAAAGGCTGGGCCCAGGAGGTCTCAACAATGCAGGAGGTCTTAGTAAACCAGGGTATGGGTTATAAAAACCAAAGCTGCCTTCTGTGAAGATGCTGGGCGTGAACGCACTTTCCAGCCCAGGTTTGGATCTGCCTCTGGCCCTCAGCAGCTCCGCCACCCAGAGACCAGGCTTGAAGCCATGTTCAGTGTCCCGTCTGCTCCGGAAGGACGCCCACCTCAGGGGCGAGCCTTGCACACCGCAGTGCCCGTGAACTTGAGCTGCTACCACACGGACTTCATAGAGTGTCCCCTGTTTGAACCCAGGTCCACTGGGAGGCTTGTGAAACTAGGAGGCAAGAAACTGGTATCGACGCCAAACCCCTACCCTGTTTTACAGTCAAACCAACGCCCTGACGATCATGGCACCTTCCAATTGTACTCCAGGCACAAGAGCCCCATCGCTGACCTCGACAAAAGCTGATTTAATTGTTCCTCTGCCCCACAGACGTCAGCACTGCTCAGTGACTCACACCTGCCACACACACACAGTGCCATGGGGGGTTCCAAAGTGACAGGGCCCAGGCTCTGTTCCTAAATGAATCACTTTTGGTGACAGAAAAGTGACCAAATAACCACCACCAGCCGGCCTGTGGTGGGACAAAATGCTGTGGGTGCTCAGAGGAGAGGCCCGTCTGATCAATGGCCAGCACCACGGAAGTAATAGCGAGAGAAGGAAATGAGAAGATCCATCAGAAAACCAACGGCCAACAGGCACCTGAAAAGGTATTCAACACCACTAATGACCAGGGAGATGCAAATCAAACAACTCCAGTGAGGTATCACCTCACATGGGTCAGAACGGCCAGTGGGTCAGAATAGCCATCGTTAAAAAGCCTACAGATAACAAATGCTGGAGGGGAAGTGGAGAAAGGGGAACCCTTCCCAGACTGTTGGAACGCTCCTGAAACTGTTGGAACCCTCCTGAAACTGTGGGTATCCTCCTGAAACTGTTGGTGGGAATGTTAAGTTGGTGCAGTCACTACAGAGAACAGTATGGATGTTCCTTAGAAAATTAAAGAGTTTCCATATGATCCAGCAATCCCACTCTTGGCATTCATCCAGACAAAACTATCATTCAAAAAGATAATATACCCCTGTGTTCACAGCAGCACCATTCCATAGCCAAGGCATGGAAGCAACCTAAATGTCCATCGACAGATGAATGGATAAAGAAGGTGTGGCATATATAGACAGTGGAATATTACTCAGCCATAAAACAGAAGGAAATAATGCCATCCACAACCACATGGATGGACCTGGAGATGAGCAGAGAAAGACAAGTATCATATGGTATCACTCATATGTGGAATCTAGTTAAAAAAAAAAAAATTATATAAAGAAACTTATCTACAGAACAGGAAGAGACTCACAGACATAGAAAACATGCATCTAGGTCATCAGCCTCTTCCACTGGACAGAACTGCATACCCAGCGAGTGCAGGGAGGGGAGGCAACTGGCGCTGAAACCCAGACTCAATGCTGAGTCAGACACCGAAACAGCAAGAACCAAAGGAACAAACAGCACAGACGCTAAGCAATTTCTAAAGGATGCCAGCGAGTGAAACATGTTCTAACATAACTGCTCTTAACCGCTTTCATTTCAGAAAGCAGTGAACTCTAATCTGACTGCCTGAAAAGAACCTCAATTTACGTAAC